GAGCAGCTTTTATAGACAAAGGGTTATGGCAAATGCACTGACAAGAATGAACCTCTTTAAATAAAAGGTGATAATAAATAAATACACATTAATACATATGTAAATGCAATGCTGCAAGTTTAATTTGAAAGACAGTAAAAAAAATAAAATTAAAAAAAGTCAAGTGGTGCAAGGAATGCAAAGTAAAAAAAACAAACAAGTACAGCGTATATAGCGTGCTCCTGGGGGTCATTTCTTTTGTATTATAATATGTATTGCAATCTGCCCTCTCTTCATCACAACTGAGATGAGAAATGACCCAAGTGAGTGAACCGATCTGTCACAACTTGACAGAATTCATTAAGCAGCGTAATTTCCACCAATGTCAGAAACCCCAAATTATGCATAGAGTGCGTGAGTGATGGATTCCACATCGCCCAAAGCATTTATTTACTGCTTTATATCAAAGCGTGGAACGTGGAAGCGTGGAACTGGAGAGGACCTTTACTACTCATTACTAGCGCTGGAATGAGGTCAAAGAGTAAAAATGTGCAAATCTTGATCAAAAAATAAATAAATAAATAAAAAATAAAATAAAAACATGTACATCCTAAAAGCAAGCAATCTGAGAGTTAAGTGTGAAATAAATTGTGGGCACAAATGAATAGTGCAGTGCCAAACTCCGTGAGTGCAGAAAAGGAAGATGCAGACATCAAATGAGATTATCAGAAATATCAAAAACATCTGGTGTAAATGTTTTTCTTATTATTTAGATAGACTATATAGATAACAGCTGAATGTTTAAGTGGTCAGAGTTAAATGGCATTACTGCTGTGCTTCAGTCACACCGTGTAGGGATTCATCCACTCTCCCCTCAGCTGCCTTGGAGAGTGCTGACACTGCACCTCACTCCAAACAGCTAAACCCACTAAATAGAAAACGCAACCTGTGTTCAATCTCCACTTGTCCTGTGTGTGTGAGAAAAAAATCCTTATTAGTATTTAATATTGCTGGGACATTTGACTCAGACAGTCATCCAGTCTTTTTGGTTCAACTAAATTGCCTCAATGCATTCTTTGTGGGAATCTTTGAGGGTTATTACTATACTGAGGGATAGGAATAAAGCCTGTCTGGAGTAACAGAATGTATTGACTAGGAAGAGCATGCATATCTTGTATACATATCTTGACTGCAACCAAAAAGTTGATCTAACTGGCAACTTACGGTTAATGAATATCAACCACTGCAGGAAAACACAAAACCCTCAGCCTCCCACAATGTGAAGAGGTGTCTTTTTTTGTTTTTGTTTTTTAATGTAGTGATTTTACTGGTTCGACCCACTTGAGCTCCATACAACCCACAAATATAACTGTATGTGGCTCACGAGCTAAAATAAGTTGGACTAAGCAGCCTTTTCTAAGGGGATCAACTAGTCTACTTTTACTGAAACTTCTCAAATACTGCTTTAAACACTTAAAAATAATGATTTTGAAAATTTGCTTTATTAAGTTTAACTGAAGAGGAAGAAATATCAGAGTAGCTTGAAGTTGTGGGAAAAATAAATAAATAGAAGATTTACTAATTAAATATTCCTGAGATACATTTTTGATTATAAGACATTTTAAAACAGCTTCCAAAACACGACTGTGGCCTTTAAGAGCTTCAAAGACTGTTTGATGAAGAATTAACATAGACATCTTAACAGTCCTATTCAAAAACAATTGCACTTGAACCTCTTACCTCACTATTATGCCCTCTGAGGTTAAAGTTTACTCTCTGTGGGGTGGGCCGGTCTCGTCTGCAGTGGCTGGATGTAAACGTAACCCCAACCACTCCTCGGCTGTTCCCGGTGGCAAGCCAGCCCTCTTCATAGTAACGCTTTCTGCATACCGGCTTCTCCTTCTCACTCTTGGGCACCCTGCCCTTCCAGGACAGACATAAGATGTTGGAGTCACTGGACAGGAGTGGGCCATGCTCCACAGCAGCGAACATGCCTGCAGCTCTCTACACTCCCAGAATAAAAAGTGCCCTTAGGGAGGTTCTTCGGAGAGGACAACTACTGTTATCAGCACGTCTCCTCCTTTGAGGTTACCAGTTCCGTGTCAGAAATGAGACAGCGACAACGGTGCATAGTACTGGTGCTTTTACTTGGGGATCTGGAATAGTGACTAAAGGCGATCAATAAAAACTTTCCCCAGAAAGCACAGGTGAGGTCAAAAAACAAGTGGATTTTAGCATTGCTGGATTAATGATGTTATGTAGCCAAATGAGGTGGCACACACACAAAAAAAGGCACTCAGGTCATTTTTGATGTGATGCTACCAAGTACGTGCTGTTTCGGAGAGAAGGCACCAAATGAAAGTGCCTAAAAATATATTTAGATATCCACCAGGGTAAAGTTGAGACTCCTATCAGCTGAGCAAAACAAGCATCAACCCCCCAAAAAAGAAAAAACAAAAACGCGCCTTATCTTGTAAACTTATAAAACAGGCAGGTATTCATTCCAAGTATCATCATTGTCTCCTTTCTGTGCTCCACATCCTCCTCATCTGATCCCAGTTTGTGTCTGAGAGAGGAGAAGCAGGGACTCCTCTCCATCAGCTGACAGCCCACAGGAGAGCCGCTTCTCCCGGTAACGTCATTACGTCAGCCGGCCCGCCTTTTCAACCGGCCTCGGGGATTCCATAGAGCACTGTTGGGTAATACACAAAACGACGTTTATATATAACATAGAAAAACATGAAAAATAAAATAAAAATGTATTTAAGAAATCAAGAGAATTGTGTCACAACACAAGCTGTGGAAAAGCGCTCACTTGCTGCCCACTGCCGTTAATTTAAATATTAATGCGCTGGGCTAAAAATTGCCTTTACTCTTCGAGCAGCAATTTTACTTTGAGGACTATCCTGTTCAGCGGAAGGGCATTTAACTACCCGCTTAATAATTTATAGGAGCCAGGTATCATTTTAGCTTTCATTTAATTAGGCTACAAAGCTGTAGTAAGGCGGCCTCTCGCGGCCAAACGTTTAAAAAACAAAATAGACGAAAGGTAAACAACAAAGACCGTAACAGAGAGGTAAGAACAAATAAAAGAATAACAGCTTTAAAATGAACCCGGGCAGGTCAGACAGACAAGACAGACCGAAGAGGCACAACGGGACGTTATTTATTAATACAGAGACAATAAAAATCAAGCCCAACAAAGAATAGCTGAATGAGAATGGCTGTTTGGAAATATACTCGACATTAAGATTAAGTCAGCGGTGATTACAAGATCCCGAGATTTCCCCACCATTTCCAGTATCACTAAATCTAAACCAGTGGCCATGATAATAGGTGCCTCTCGAAAAAGCCATCTGCCATTAAACCACGCCAATTCGTAAAAATAACATAAGAAAGATACAATGGTTATTGACAACCAAATAATCACTGTTTAAGCCCGTAAGACGTTGGAAAATTAGCCAAAAACATCGATCACCATAAGCTGCCTGCCTATTAGCAATAGCTAGCCAGAACCTGGATCCAGACCGAGAGCTCTGTGGTCTCCACTGATCATCAAAACATTCCAGTCGCGGGATTAATCTTTCCTCCCTTCAAGAGTCTGGCGCTGGGCTGTAACGCTAATCCATCCGAGATGCTGGGGAATGCGGGTAACTAACGCTGTCTGTCACGATTCTTCTTTTTCTTCTTCTCCATGAACAACAACCGGAGACAGCTAACCGGCTAAGCGGTCAGCTATCAGCGCCAGGCTGGCTCCGTCCACCCGCCGCTGGCACTCGCTAGCAGGCTACGGTTAGCACATTAGCAAACGATTTATGGCAATAGTTATTTAATATTAGGACACATCTGTTGAGAAAAAAAACACACACACACCTCGGCGGTGTAGTGACAAAGTGGCTAAACAATATAAACCATGAGTCCAACAAAGCCAGAGAAACATCAGCGGTCAGTGGAGTGCCTACCTTGGATCCGTACCGCTGCTTCTTCCTCTGCCTGCAGCCTGCTACTGTACACTGCTGGGCCCCTACTGCTGGGTCACGTGACAGGCACGTGATTCAGACCAATTAAAATTGTTCATATCAATAGCACCTTAATCAAATAACAGTCAATCCAATAACAGTTTACCTTTCAAAACTAGGTTCCCACAAATTTGGAGAAGAATGCATCTAAGTATCTACATTAAATATACCTGTATTAAGTATATTAAGTACACGCATACAGCAACTGTATAAGCAGCCTCCATTGCATTGTTTTTTTTCACAATAATGTGAAGCATATTTTAGGTCAAATACAAATGTGGGTGTGTATAAATGTGTAATAAAACAACATATTATACATGATCACAAATTAAGAAAACAAATGTGCCAAAGTAATTGTTTAGGTTTTGGGTTTGTTTGTTTGTTTGTTTGTTTGTTTGTTTGTTTGTTTGTTTGTTTGTTTGTTTGTTTGTTTGTTTTTGCTCATTCCGTTTATAGGCAGAAAAGTATTTAAAAGTATGAATGAGATCTAATGTTAAAATGCCCAGTGACTTTGCAGATACTGCATTTAAATTAAATCAGTGACCAGAGGTTAACAGGCAGCCTTTGCAGTTGAACCTTGTAAAGAAAGATCATACATGTTGTAAACCTGCTCAACATTTGGCAATAAACCCCTTTCTGATTCTGATTCTGATTCTGATTCTACATTACTGACTGACTCCACTTTTTCAAATAAGATATGGTGATGATCAAGAGAAGAATCACCTGTGACAAAAATCACTGTGACAGAATCAGGAAGCTACAAGGTAGATGAAGCATCATAAGCATGCATAAATAATGTCACGATAGTCAAGTGCAGACTACATTGTTATTCATATGACTTGTAAATGTGAATATGAAAATATATTTGAATATAATACATCCAATCTTAGTCTTTCATTCTCAGTTTTATGACCATGAAAGGTTTCGATGGGACTGTAGACTGGATACTTGGTACTCGTCACTAGCTCGTTAGTGCTCACCTCATTTATCCTCCAGGACACAAGGGGGCAGCACAGGGAAATGATTTCACCTTCTGTCCGCTCTCTCAAAAACATGGCGTCTCTCATGGTTCGCAAACGTGAATTATTCTCTTTGGCAAGGATATTGAGTGGTGTCTCATATTTGGTATGGTAACTAACTTGTTTTTCATTTTAGATAACGTTTTCTAACAGTTTACTAACATGGCAGGTCTCTAGCTTTTGAAAAATTACCGTAGCTAGTTAGCCAATCGTAGATTTTGGCCATTCGTGGCAGCTGCACAACCGAGGTCATTTGTACATTTCAATAAAAAGAGCTTGATTCTGTTTTCAGGGACCGGCAAGTTTGAGTGTCTGTTCGGGTCACAGGAAATGTAATATAACTCGGTAGGTAACCCCCCCATCTTTTAAATGAGTTGAGCCATAATTGCTTACGTGAATCACATGAATTTTCACACGAAGCAGGGGTGCAGCAGTTTTAAATTAAATTATGAAGAGACTTACAAACAGTTTTTACTGTTTTTTGATAAGATCTGTCAGTAAAGATAAATAGCATGTGTTTTTGGAGCACTTTTTTTTGGCTGTATCGGAATGCAACGTGTTTATTTCCCCATGGAAATTAAGTAAATAATGTAAAGAAAAGGACATCTTATAGGTACAGTATACTCACAATCCTTAATAAAATAAAACAACACTAGCAGTATATTCAGGCAGTGAACAGGAACACCATGAAGCTAAGCCAGAAAAGCCCAGAGGCATTAAGCACCTTGTGCAGTTGAAGTGCACTTTTTTCTAAGCACATTTATTGTATAAGCAGTTATTCTGTATCTCCTCTGCAGGTTTCACCTCCCTCTGACTCCCAGCACTTCTTTCCACACGACAGTTTTAACGTCAGCAGCACAATCGGCAGTAAGTTATCATTATCATTCTTGTATCAGGCTGGTGCTGTAGTGAAATACAACAAACCTACAGTGGTTTATATTCAAAGGCCATCGCTTGGAATTGCATGTGGCGTTAAGGCTTTCTTTTCTCCTTTGGTCCAGATCACAGTCACAGAGGAGCCGGACACACTGTTCCAGAAACTGGTGGTTTTGGTTAAAGGTCATGACAGAGCTGTGTTGGACAGCTATGAGTTCTTTGCCACCATGACAGCTAAAGAACTGGGCATCAGTCTTGGAAAAGTGTGAGTTTTAGCAGCCACACACTAACTCTAGTAAAGGTTCTGTCTAAAATCTTCTGTCTAAAATCTTCTTGTAATGCCATGACTTTTTTTGGGATCTTCTTCCTCCATCACAGTTTTGAACCTCCGAAGGACATTGAGAGGTTAACACTCCTGAAGTCAATACACATTTTCAAAAAACACAGAGTCCAGTATGAGATGAGAACTCACTACCGGTGCATCGAGGTGAGAAGCTCTAATTTAAAAAAAAAAAAACTAAAATCCAACAAGAAAAAAATGCACAAAAAGCCATTAAAAGGAGTTCGGTATTATTCACCTAGTTACATTTTACTGGAAACTTCTAACCTTTGCATAATAACACGAATGAGCTTTGTGTTTGTGCCAGTTATTGCATGTCATTATAAGGTAATTTGTTTAACATGTTTATTTTTATTTTTTGTCTCTGTAGCTGCATCATATAACAGGCTGTACAGCACAAGTATACCTTGAATACATTCAGAGGAATCTTCCGGAAGGTGTAGCCATGGAGGTGACGAAGGTGAGGTTTTGCAGAGATCGATGTACACCCAAACTCGCGCACCAGTATCATCAATATCAGTGTCTGCAGGCTAGATGCTTTCCATTGCAAAGCTTATTAGTATGGCCCTCCATGATATTCCCAATTCTAATGTGCCCCCTTGGGAAAATTAATTTCCCACTCCTAACTTAGGTTGTTAATAAATTTGGCCTGTCCCCTGTTACAAATGGTAAAGAGAAGCTTTCAGTTGATGAACAGTGTGGCCTGGTTGAAGTCAAAACTGGATACAAAACATGCACAATGTTTTCAGTTAAACATGAAATGAATTCTCCCTTGAAAAAATTAACCCTTAACAACAACAAAAAAAACCCTAATATATATGTGATCATTTTGAGATTAAATTAAAATCTATTTTGAGAAGATGAAATGTGTAGATTATAGTTGTTTACAACTTCCACGGTTGCTTTACCCTCTTTTGATGATGAACTCATACTTCAGAATCGGTTTTAGTAACAAGGTGGGAAACGATTTCCCTTCTAGCTCAGTATGTTAAGGATAAGGACGTTGAAAAGATGTTGCAGAAAACTGCATCTGGTCAGGCAGAAAACCACACACCTGAAAGAGTGGATTTGTCCAAAATGAAATGGCTGGTAATGGACAAATGGAAGGTTATCGATGGTTGCACCATCGTGCAATAAAAAGTACGCATGTTGGATCACAAGACGGCTGATCATTTAGTTTTAATTGACTCGTCTAAACAAGGTATTTTGTAAAGTGTATAGCAGCTGGTGCTGTTTGTCTTGAAACAACTAATCTGCTCATTTAGCCTTTTTTAAAATTTTGGCTTTATTCTCAAAATGATAATTTATTTTTTTTCATAATGTGGTCTAATACTCCTTCAACATTTCCCAGTAAAGCTGAATATGACAGTCCTTCCCTATCTGTGCAATTCTGTGTGGGAAAGGGCAACTTTCATATGATGTTCTCGCTCTTCTATTCTGTTCATGTTGACAGACTGCAATGGAGAAGGTTCCTGATCACATCCTTGAACCGATGTGGAAGGAAATTCCCACAGACGACAAGCCCAGCCAGTAAATCCAGCACCTGTGACTAACAGATGTCTATTAAATGTGTTTTCCTGTGATTGTTTTTTGTTTGTTTGTTTTTTTTAAAGCATGTTGTCTTTTCTGTTGCAAAGCTATGTGAAATAAACTGAATATGTACACAACTCATTCTTTGTAGTTCAGGTTGTAGTTTATCTGGGACTGTTTCAAATAAGTCAAAAGTTTTTGTTTGATGAGCTGCAGTGATATCGGGATGAACTATATGTATACGTGCAGATACAAGACCAGCACACACGAGACCTTTGCTTTGTACATTTATTGATTAAAACAGTATACATCAAATCACAAAACAGCGTATACAGCATAGTCATTCTGATGATTGGCACCTCCAGCTACCACTGGTTCAGTTTACACAACAACAGTGCTTAAAGTTTTTTCACCACCACAGCTGTCCTAAATTAACAGTGTTGATAGTTACCAAAATCTCTGTTTCTCTACTGGATAATCATCAAAATCATATTTTAAATGCTGAACTATAATTTGTTTAATTCAATTATTTTATTTAATTTCTGACTTCTTATAAATCCTGTGTGAAAATGTGGCTGAAATTTGGGTATAAAAACACTGTTATATAAATAATATAATTTTTAGTTTGAAATAAGTTTTTGACAAATTTCTAAAAAAAAAAAAAATTAATTTTGTTTTTAATGATAGGTGGTCTGATAAATTATCTGTTGTAGCTAAATTACCAAGAAGCTAAATTAAAGTGCTGTGTGCAGATAAAAAAAAAAAAAATAGATCTTTAATTCTACCACTTTAGAATTTGTTATAATATAAACCACTGATAAATTCTATAAATTATATTCCAACTATAAATGAACTAAAATGGCTTTTTGTTGGTCAAAAAGATAAAAAGTCTGACAGCCTTCCTCTGTGACCCAGCAGGGGGAAAAATGTTGTGCTGAACACTGAAGAGTGTAAAATGTCTACTGGCCTCCTGAACCAAAGCATTGTTAATCTGTGGGTCGTTCCATCGCTTCTCAGTACATAGTCTAACCTGTGATATCAGCACGAATGTTACCGTTACAGCTAACAGGGGCTTCACGTGTCCAATAAGGTGTGGAAGTGAGCTAGAATGCACCATCCACATTAGCCTGGAAGTAGTTAAATGAAACATCTCGATTTCCTGAGTAGAAGACTACGCGCTATATATCAAGCATGCCATTTTCCCCATCACGGTACAGATGCACCTCCAAACCCACAAATCCTCTAAAATCTCACCACTCCCCAGTATGACTCTGACGTTGCTCCACCTTGAGGTCCTGAAAGAGAGAATCTCCTTGTTTTGGAGAGGAAGGGGTTTAGGGATTAAGACACAAGAGGAGGCTCACCTTTTCAAGTGATGTGCCGAACCTCAGGTGTCACGCCGCTGGTGAAGGAGGGGAGAGATGTGAGGGAGGGCCTGGGTTCCTTGGGGCCCGGGAGGTTAACTGTACTGTGTGCCCCCCCCCTTCAGGAGACAACAACAGTCAGTCTGTTATAATCAACTAAAGGGAGAAACTGGGACTTCAGAGGCTGATGTAGCAAAATGTAGTCAAAAGTGTTGAAGAAATGGAAAAAGACAGGAAGAGAAAGGGGGCAGGATGCAACACCTGGCTGTGGCTATTTACTTATCACCTCTCCTTGCACGTGTACCTATATTCAAGCAACGTGTGGTTCACAGAATAAAGTCCTTGTTTATCTAGAAAAAATTATTTTCTTCAGATGGTTGCACCTTTGCTTTTAGCTTTAAAAATTCAGCTGGCCTTAATCACCACACTACGGATAAACTGTAAAACCGAAGACCCTCTTAAGTCATTATATCCCAATTTGAGCAAATGTGTGCACATTGTAAACCCACATCTATTGTTATTATTATTTTTATTAAATATAAAAAGGTGGAACTATTTCATGCATGCAAGCAATTAGATTTGAAATTATACAAGAGTACAGGAGATAAGATAAATAGATTTGACTGAAAAAAACAAAACAAACTCTAGAAGGTTTTCCGAGCCAGCTGTCCCCTTTGAAACGGGGTCAGCATCTTTTAGAAACAGAATAAATAAGTTATAATTCTTGGTCATATCAGAGTGTCTGTTCAGATGATGTCCTCCTTTTAGACATGCTACCACTCATTTTAAACTGAGAGATGTCTTGTATGTGGAGCGGCTCCGTGTCCTCCAATCAATTTTACACTGGTAGCTACAAGGCCGTAAACCTTTACTATAAGTACAATTCATTGTTTAGTTTTACATTTTTTAAGCCATAAATTAATTGAAGCCCTCAGTCTACAGAATTCAGTGAGATCTAAAGTGAACATCAAGATTTCCTGGTCCTCCAGATAGTAAAAACTAAAGCAAAACTATTAATTACACGAATCAAATGTTCACTTTAAAGTATCACATAAATAAATGTAAGCTCACACTTACAATGCAGTTCATACTGTTTCACAGAGACGTTGTAGTCGGTAATAACAACTCTCAGACTTGTTTGTGAACAAATAAAAAAAGAAGAAGTTGAGTTTATTTTTTTTGTTGTTTTATTATTTTGTTCTTTCACGTCTATCTCTTGACGGTTCTCAAAACACATTCACAGTTTCACAAGTTATGTTAATTACAATGAATATAAAATAGTAACACTTAAAAAAAAAACACAGTAAAGAGTAACTTCTTATCATTAACTGGAGCAAATATGAATGGAATTTGCTCTAATAAGAAACCTGGTATATATGTGTGTGTGTATATATATATATATATATCTATATATCAGTATGCTATTCATTTATAATGCTTTTTTGTCATCACACAATAGATCGCTGGAGACAAACATGAATGTTCCAAACAGCAATACTCATAACTTAAAATACCTGCACATTAAAAGATATATAATATGAAATTAAATACTCATTAATACTCGACAAGCTGGATAAAGACTTGTAAAACGTGTCAAACAATAATTAGTGCACTGTTTAGTGAGGTTATGAATACATAACCATATCCATGTAGCATGAGGAAAGATTAGGGAGGTCCAAGGTGGACCAAACTAATAAACAGTAGTGTTTGAGGGCTGCTGTGCACTCCTTCCCCTCCCTTTTAAAATTTTCCCCTCTACCCCCACCTTCAGAAATACAGTGTCACCCCATTTGTTAACCTTTATTCATTAGGGGTCAGGAAAAAGGCTCACAGGGCGACTGTAACAAGAAACACAGAACATTTAATTTTGGAGAACAAACTCGTTTTAACAACTTCTGTTAAAATACGAACAGTATTTATAGGTAACAGAACTTGGGAATCCCTTTACATTATTCGGTTATAAATCGTTTTTAATTCGTCCTCAGTTGCCCTTTAGTCATTTTCACATTTTTCTCTTTGCCAGTGGACAATACCAACAACCAAACATGTCGGCACAGAGTATTTCTTGAGATACTCAAAAGATAACTCAGACTTTTATTTTTTTTTATAAACACATCATTCGGGGGCATTTCATTCACTGCACGACTACAGGGCCTCTTCTACATTAACAGCTGCTTAGTTATAGTTTTTAGAGCAGGCTGTATTAAAAGCGTCGGCCACCAGGGGGGCCTGGCCACCTCTGGCCTCTGCCAGGTGGGGGGTGAGGCGGAGGAGAGACCGGTCCATTGTGGTAGCTGTGTAAAAGGATAAAATCACACATTGGATTCTTGGCTTTGGCCAATAGGGGGCACACTCTGATAAGAGCAGCCATCTGAACGACTCTAGTTTAAGGCGGGGGAACTGAGATCCCCTCTGCTCTGCACCTTTGAACTTGCAAAATACAGCTTCATGTTTCATGCACTATTTAAGAGTTTAGCTTAAAAAAATAACTTCACTTTACATTTGCTACAGTAGAAAACTATTAAAGCAAAAATGCTTCTTTTTGACACAGAGCTATCAAAAAATTGAAAAGAATTTAACTATAAGCAGGCTGAAGAGAAAGGGACAGAAAAGACTGTGCATTAGTGTCACAAACCTCTGTGCTTTTGCTGCATCTCAGATCTCAAAGAAAAACTCTCAGATTCTCTAAATTTAACAATCTGGTTACCGTGCACACAAAGCACAGAGATTTGTGACATTTTAAGCTTAAGCATGATATGAATATTAAAACACCGCTTACCCTCGTGGGCCTCGCGGACGGAAGGGGCGCGGAGGTCCAGGGGGTGGCATGCCACGGCCTCGAGGGTGTGGCGGACGCCCTCTGAAACCAGGATGACCTGGAGGAGGGGGTGGAGGGGGTCCATGCCTGTAGAGGAAGAACATTTTCAGGCAGTAAGGAATAAGACATTTGAAAGTGACAGGTCAGCTCTAGCTATGCGCTTTGTGGGTGTCTGTGCATGTTATGTGCCTGAATGAGGCGTTTACCTGGGCATGGGTGGAAAGGGGCCTCTGAGGTGCATAGGAGGAGGTGGGGGAGGGGGAAGAGGAGGGCCCATGCCCATAGGTCCAGCCCTACCTCGAGGACCTCTGAGGTCAGGGTAAGGACGCATCCTCCCCATTCCTCTGCAAGGGAAGAAGGTGCAGCATAATTTATCTAAATTGACACATGTAATGGATCAAAAGTTAAGTATGTAAAATGCATCTAAATACAGAAATACTCAGTAGTGGCTGTCTATAAGCATTTCCTTTTTATGTTTACCAACTGAAAATATGTGTTTAGAAACTAACCAAGTTATAAAACTTACATATTACAGAATATCAACACTGTGCGTGTGTCAGACATCAATAAAAGTACCTCATGGGCCCAAATCCATTCATGGCTCCATCCTTTACTCGACCCCTTCCAGGTCCTGGTGGCCCAAAGCCTTTCATCATGCCCCGCCCACCACGCATGCCACCTCTACTCATACGCCCCCCTCGCCCACGGCCTTTGGCCCCACGACCCCTGAAGGAAAATAACAAAGGGAAAGCTGACACTGTCCTTCTAGTTCAGGTTCAGTCTTGTTAAGCTGTAACAAAAAAAATAAAATAAAATAAAAAAAAAAACACTGACGCACTTTAAATTTTTTATATCTAATCTTGCATAAAACCACAAGAATTGTCATGTTGTCAAATAGTAAGGCATTTAGACTACATAAATAGATATGGGTGTGAAGAGATGCATCTTTAAATCATTATAAAGGAAATCTGCAGGACCTGATTAAGTATTAGTAGAAAACTACTACATTAATTACTGTGACTTGCTGTGGTGAAATTAAAAATCTGCTGGAGATCAAAACACAAGAAAAACACATATGCATCCATTAAAATTTACAACAGAGTCCAGGTTGAAGATTTACTGTGAAATCTATAACAATCATTTAACACCAGGCTAAAAAAAGTTAAGCTTTTACAGATTATATCTGTGACACAGTACGACCTCTCTCAGTTACTGCCACTATAGGACAAAACAGTAAGCTATTAATAGCATGACCTTGCCATGACAGTTTCCTATAGACATATCTGAAAGATGAAGCAGGAAAAAAAAAGACCTAAACTCGAATAACCGGCATGTGTACACAAATGAAACAGAAGACTGTAACAGACAGCAGGACAGACCTGGATTTGAGTTGGATTACATGTTTCTCTGAGTCATCCATGGAAGTTTCTGTGACTCTCTCTTCTGTGTCCGTGTCCATCTGAAACAATCCCAAGTCAATAGTTATGTGCAGAAGATCAGCAGTAATAAGCACTAGATTCATACTTGTACCTGTACAAAACATAATGATATAGATATAGACAATGAACACCATCATGAACAGAAGAGCTGCGTTCAAACATACTATTTTTTAAGTGTTTATTATGTAATGCTGGAAACTGCACTGCAATGTCTTTGATTTGTATTCTAATATACTGAGAGGCACTTCATTTTCTGCATTCTGGTGATTTTTTTGCACTAATTTGTATGTTGTCTGCATAAATTACACAGGAAATGCCTTTAATCAATTTATTTCTTCAAGACTAATAAAACAGAACAATAAAGCACTAGAAGATAACTGTATATATATGAAGTGATATAACGCAGTCAGGCTCCCTGGTATTCTGTTTCACTTTTAAATGATTACTCTCCACTTTCCTCGTGTTTGTGTGCTGCTGAATCAGCACAAATACAGGCAGGATTTACTCGCCTATCCTTCCTTTGGATTGCTCTGTTCCAGTTTTGAGTCTGTGTGTAATTGCCTGGCAAGTTTGTGTAATTGCGTTTTATTAACAGGCTGATTAAATACTCATATGGCACCTCTTCAGCTCTCTTAAAAATTAAATCACGTCATACATTTTTATATCCTGGACTTTAATAGCTTAAATATATTTCAACAAGACATCTGCTCATGTTTTCTCATTCTAAAGAATCAGCCTGCTGAAAGCTAAAAGATCTAACGCATTACCTTAAGATTAGTTAACCACTACCAACCCCGGGTTATAAACAATAGGCTCAAAACCTCCAAACAGGAGTAATTACAGTCCTGTGTTATTTTTATTTTTGGAGGAGGGTGGGGGCTATCAAAAAGATCAGAATACATCAGAAGAGATCAGAATTTACTATGATACAAAGGCAATCTTGTTACACAGAAATTCTATAATAAAGATGTGCACCAAAACCTCCTCATGGTTGCTGGGTGGATAAAACTTCACCACACTGACAAAGACTAACACCGAGGACATGTCCCGTTTAATTTACCTGTATTTTTTACTTCATTAGTCTTACATAATAAAAACAAAACGGAACATATTTTTACATTTTTCTTTAAGTCTAGTTAATATTATTACCCTTTCTCTTAACTTTATTTTGTCACACCCACTTTTAGTCAATGCAATAAATTTGATCACTGAATAATTTTATGCCTAATAAAGTCTACAGCTAAATCTGTCGAGAGTTATTTCCATTAGTTTATTATCCTCATTTTGCAATAATGAGGGATGAGTCGCTCATTCTACACCCACCTAAACATCCATTTAAGCCAGGATGTAGACGGAAAGTACACTGTTCTGCTTATAATTTATTATATAGAGAGATTTGTATGTAACAGGTCCAATGGCTGAGCCACACACTTAAAATGTTTAATGGCTATGAACATGGCATGAAGCACACTCGTTCATACGTACATTTTACAGTGATATTTTGAAGACAGAAAGCCTGCAAAGCCAAAGGCACGTCGAGCGTCATGGAAACAATTTTATCCCGATCCTAGGAGGCGGCTGAGGTTGTGTGAGCTTTTAAATATCAAGCTAGCAGCAGCGGCAGAGGGGGTTGGGGACGACCTGTGCGACAAATACAGTTCGAGCCTCTAATAATACTTCTTAATACCCCTCATGAATAGTAGCAAATAGTGAGCCCAGCCGGCTAAAATATACACGTAAAGCGATAAAGGGCCCCGTCTAATTCCTGGAACTTCCAGGGCAGGTATGACAGAATTACGCTATGTTGCAAATTTTTTAAAGAACAGTCTAATATAAACAAATTTCAAAGACACATTTAATGATATTTTCCTAATTGAAAATATAAACAGAATAAACTTCAGTGACAAGCGTGGGATTAAGTAAAACGTTAGTCATCCAAGAAAGGGGCGTTTCTGTAGATTTTTTTTACGCTTCTGGAATGACTTACTTCAAATCGGTGACGCCGGTGAGGTAGATTAAAAAAATGATACGGTTTTTGTGATTCCTAAAAAAAAAAAGAAAAAAAATAGAAAAATAAAAAATATAGATATATACAAAATTTCTAGCAACTCTCGTACCTTCGATGGGCTTTGAAATGGCGGCTTAAACAGACATCCCAGGTTGGGATTTCTTTGTGAAGAGACGCTCGCTTTCAAAGTCACGCCCACAAGGAATAAATGTTTAAACTTGATTGGTTCATTGGTACCGTCATTTAGGCCAAGGTTCGCTTTCTGGGATTCTGATTGGTTGACTCGGCTAACGTGCTTCCAATGGTCTCCAGCCTTGAAAGCGGTTCAGTAATTAAACGGGCCACACGTTCAACACATTACACACGTTTATTGAAGATTGAGGGGGAAAGCGTGACTGTAGAACTCATTTGGATTAAAACAGCCGATGAATGCAGAACATTTAGCAGAATACAAATCGACCTGTTTTAGTATTTGAGAAAAATACAAAATTCACACAGCAAAACGTTACCAATTCTCTTAAATTCTAAAAAATATAAAAACAGGAGGGTAAAAGTATGAATCAAGTACGACGACTCTTCTCCAAATTATGTCAACATAAACACTGAGTTCATAATTCCAACAAAAGTATGCCTCATATACAGAAAATATCTGGCAAGTGCAAGTAAAGTAAACAATATGTACATTATAACTGTTAAAAGAAATAAGAGGAAAGTATTAAAATGAGTATTAAACAGATAAGGAAACTAAACGAAATGTCCAAATACGGTCCATTTTCAGTGCATTTACGTGCGACTCAGGAGGTCTGCAAGCTTGTTGATGTATTCAATGGTGTATTTGAGCGTCTGTATCTTGGTCAGGGGCTGCCCTCTTTTGCTGTAGTCCGGCGGCAGGTAGTCCCGAAGCTGGTGCAAAGCCTCTGCGAGGCTCCTCATCCGCATCTTCTCCCGCTCGCTGGCCTTCATGCGTCTTTTGGTGGACATCTTTGGCTTGCCTTGCCTTTGCGCCGGTGGTGCAGTCACTTCTCGGCTCGTGAAGGTGAAGGAGAAGTCTTTGATCTCCCGATGCTGGCTGGAGTAGCACATCTCCGGTGAAGAGCACACTGACTCTCTCTGTGACTCAGGTGAAGTGGGCTGAGGTGACTCTTGGTTTTCTCCAAAGGCGCTCTCATGGCACTTCCACTCAGACAATATTTCAGCTGTAACCACATCCAGGTTCATGTTGGATATCCAGGCGACCAAGCAGCGACGGATGGCATTCAGGGTTTCGGCAGGGAGAGTGTGTGAAAGTGATTTGGCCAAAGTGGTTTTATACAGAAGCTGATCTCCGGAGGTTTAAAGGTTCACAGCTGTAGCGACAAAAGTTCAAAGAAACTCGCAAGTGCCAAAATGCGACCTTCCCGGAGGACATGGTTCGTTAGTCTATCACTGGGGTGTGAATAAGGCTAAATAGAGGGATAATGTGATAGAAAGAAAAATAATTAGATTCCTTTACACTTTAAAGTCTCCCTGACGACAATTATCAGTTTGATGTGATTTGTCTAATGAAGGATGCTGCTTCACCTGGGATCTTCACGCTTCTCAGGCAAGCCTGCTTGTGTCTTCAGCGTGGACGTTAACATAAATAAATAAAGACCAGAACTTTGGAAAAAGATAAACTTGCAGAGCCAAACTCTTTATCCTGTCTGGAAATTCCTAAAAGTGACTGTCCTTGTACTTCAACCTCCTTTAAATGTGTACAAATCCCACTAACTCTACTTTACCACACCAACTGGACATGAAAAACTAATATTTTATGTCCTAAGCTTTTGTTCTAATAATAATATAAAACAAATAAGATTAAAGAGCCAGTGTTATAGGACAGAGTTGTTATTTGGGCAGAGGATGCAGCTGTCACCAAGCTCCTGCCAGACCTTTCATGTCTGAAAAGGTGTGAGGCCTCACTCAGGATCAAGGGGACCAACTCTGGTGGGTTGTAAAAATCCAATGGCTCAGCCTCCTCCGTGCCTCCTGTCAGCTGCAGGGTCTCCTCCCTGCAGCTCTGTCAAACAGCGGTGGGAGAAAATGAGCACATGTGGTGCCATCAGTGAGTATTTAACACTCTGCATATCCAAAACCTCCTTCTGGTGCATTAAAATTAAACCTCATTTTTCATTAGTATTAAATATGTTAAACTTTATTTGTGCACAGTGGTCTCCTCTGTTTTAGAGAAAGCTTCATTCACAGTAAGCTTATGGCAAAATCTATTTACGTTTCTTGGTTAACAGGTTCGTATATAAAACATTAAAAGACTGAAAATGTAACTCAAAGATATTAGAATCATAATTGTGAGACAATGAAAAGCAGACATTTTTAATATTAATAATTAATATGCTCTATATTGAGTCATTTTCTCAGAGGTTTGAGTTAGTAAGGTGAAACTTTGAAATAATAACCAGTAACTGACTTAAGGATGAAAACAATGTGGGGTTTGGTTTTTTTTTTTTGGTTTTTTTCCAATGGTGGAAACAAGCTTCCATACTTAAGTCATATTCTGTTGAGTGTTTTTAATTCATTAAAATTTCTGGTTATTATCTCAAAATTTGACCTTACTGTATCAAACATCTGAGAAAATAACATGAAATTTCAAGTTGTTATGTTGGAATTTTGAGAAAATATCCAGAAATTTGGGGATTACTATCTTAAAATTTCAGGTTATTATCACAAATTTTTGGATTATGGATGGGAAAATTTTTTTTTTTTTTTTAGTGACAGAAAAAGTTTCTGCTGAGTGTGGTTTTACATTTATTATGGAAGCTTGTTTCTGCCACTGGAAAGTCAAAAATTTGGATTACTATCTCAAAATTTCAACTTCCTGACTCAAACGTAGAAGAAAATAACTTGAAATATCCCATTATTAATTTGAAATTTTGAGATAACCTGAAATCTTGACTTATATACTGTAAAAGGTTTTTGGATTTTTTTTTTAGTGGCAACAAAAAAAACACAAGCTTCCATATCTAATATTTGAGCTTATGTTACAAGTGTTTCCAAAGTCCAGAGTAAACTTTCAGTGTTAAAAGAGCAACAGCTTACATGTTTTTGTCCTTTGTCGTGTAACCACACTGATTACTTCTGAAATTTCAGCCTCAGTCTCTCTGCCAGTGGCAGCGGACTCTCACTACAAATTACAGAGTCGTCGCTCTCTGACACGGTGATGGGTGAGGCTGGAGTGGGAAGGAACATGTTGGCACCCACATCAGCTGCTGGGACATCCTGGCAGTTGTTTTCAGTTGATACAGGTGTGCTGTTATTTTCAAAATGTTTGCTCTGAGGTTTTTGTCTTGCTAAATGAAGGCTCCGAGCGGGTTTTGCAGTTGCTTGGGTCGCTGCGTGTGAAGCAACTGGTTTCAGAGGGAAGTCTGAAACAAAGCTGCCTTTGAGTTTGTGTTTAGGTTTTGTTTTTGTCCGTCTTTGAGGTCCACACTTCTGGTTCTCCACGTCGCTGTCCTCACTGGATGAACGAACGCTCATACACACACTCTTTTTGGTGGTCTGTGGCATGCTCTCGTCCTTCTTGTCACTTGTACCTGGGTTAGAGTGGCACCTCTGTGGTGGGACAACTAATGACTGAATAGCTGTCCTGACAAATTTATATTTGTGTGGCGGCTTTTTGGAGTTGTTAAATGTGTCTTTGGCTTTACTTTGAGCCGGGGCACCTGGCTTTTCTATCTGGGTTTTTTCTGCACGTGCTTCATTTTTCTTAACAGCAGATTCTTTGCTAACCCCACTGGAAATGTGTCCACTGGGTTTTGACTTGACTGCATCATTGCATACCTGATTCACGATTTTGGCTGTATTCTTCATGAGCACCCGCTCCCTTAGAGGACACTCTGAGTAACAGAGCTCTGGAGCAGATCTGGAGTCTACTGGTTTGACATCAGGTGAGATTTTCTGCTCCGTTTTTTGACTCTCTGTTTCACTGTCTGTGGTTTTATTTAGCTCTGGACCAGTGGAGTGGCTGGTAGCTGCTTGTTGGGATGGAGAGGATGTGAAGGACAAAGCATCCCAGTCGATATCACTCAGGTGTAGCGCTTCAATTACAGCAGAGACAGAAGGTGAAGCAACTGGCTCAGAGTCAGCACGAGACAGAGGAGTATTGGGGCAGTCACTCAGGCTGGAGCGATCATCTTTTCCTCTTTCATTCTGCTTATGGTTCACCGGTGTGTCCAGAATCACAACCTCTGGTTCATCTGTGCTTGCCAACGTAGGGAGCAGCTTTGGCTGTTGAGTCATAGAATTCGATGAAGAGGAACTCTGAAGAGTCATCTGAGCCAAGAGGTCTGATAAACCATCCGAGGGCTTCTCCTTTTTACTTTTTGGCTTCTTTTCTGTAAAAGAAGACACGTTATCAGAAGATTATCTGAATTAGTTTCCTGTTAATCCTAATACTTTTTCAGTGTCTGTGCCTAGTTTTCCTGCAAACTAGGAATTAAATCTAGATAGCAGTGATGATTTGTGTGTTCAAAGCTCAGTTTGTATAAAATGAAAACAGAGCCTATGAGATTGCTGAATCAAGGCCTCTGCTGTGAACCAGCTACATTTGTATGTGTCCCAGCTGCTTTAATAAACAGTGTTGAGACGCAAGTTTAAGATGCAAGTGTCCTTGATCAGGATGGCCTTGTCATAGCAGAGACATGTGCTTTAATGATGTAAAGCACATAGCTAAAATGGACTTTGTGCATTTAAAGTGGATATCATAAATCTCTGTCTTACTCTTTGTCTTGTTCTCTTCAGCCAGAGCTTTGTGTCTGAGGTAGGTCTCCACCAGCTCAGGGTAGGCCACACGAAACAGAGACTCCTCCTCCACCGTCCTCACCTCACGCTGTTCCTCTGCAGGCCGATCCTCAGGAAACACAAAATGTTCTGCAGAACAGACATCAACATCAGCTCCAACTTCTCACACTGAAGTATTTAAACTCCTCAAACTTTTCATATTTTTTGCCTTAAAAAGTGAGTAATAAATTCAAATATCTAAATGTCCATTAATGTCCTGTTCACTGATCATTGCAGTTCTCAGCACTTTTGTTCTTGTTATTAAAGCACCAGGAAGTAGAAATTTTGAGAGACAATGTCCTTGTGAAATTAAGCTATTTTTAGATTAATATGCAACTTATTTACATATTATTTACTTATTTTAAACCATGACAAAATTATCAGATGATGATACAGTTAGCTGAAAAAAAAAAAGTAGTTATGACAGTTTTTGTAGTTTTGCTTACGTACGCCACCACATTGTTTTAAATCAAACAATCAAGATGTGATTGTAGAGACGACTTTCAGCTTAAATTCAAGAGGCTGTACAAAAATCCTGTAGTGTCAGCCGCTTTTATGCACAGTTCCCTGTTTTCAGAAGTTCAAAATTAACTGAACAAATTTATCATTTAAATGATGATTGTTTTGAATACTTTGGTAAAATCCTTTGCAGTCAATGAATGGCTGTTTCCTCCCTTGAAATGCTCTGCTAGGCACCGTCTGAATATCCAATTTCTTTGCCTATTGTTCACCAACCTTTTGGGTTGCTTTTGCACTATGCTTTGGGTCATTATCGATTTGAATTGTGAAGCACTGTCTGATCCACTTTGCAGCATTTGGCCAAATCCTACATCTATCAGCAGTCACATCATCAATAAACATTTGTAAATTAGTTACACCGGCAGCCATACAAGCCCATGTCATAACATTACCTCCACCATGCTTGACAGATGATCTGATGTACTTTGGATACTTAGCCATTTTCTCTTTCTCTTCTCGTAATCCTGGTACAAGTTAATCTTGGTTTTATGTCTAATGTCTAATTTGGCCCTCTTGTTCTTGAGTGTAACTAGTGGGTTGCACGTTGTTAATGATCCCTCTATATCCATTCATGAAGGTGCCTCTTGATTGTAGACCATGTTTTGGAGTTGTTTTTCTTAGCCATGGAAATGAGTCTGTCATGATGTACTTTAGCTGTCTTCTGTGGTCTTGCAGTCCTTTTGGTGTTGCTGAGCTGATCAGTTCACTAATTATTTTTAAGACTGCACCAGATTTTAGATTTGGCCATGCCTAAATATTTTGCAAACTCTCTAATAGGTTTATTTTGCTGAGATCTTTTAGTTTGTTTTGTTTTAGTCTAATGATGGCTTTATCTGGGATAAAAACCTCTGTCACATTAAACATTTGGAGCTCCCTGGTGTGGCAACCCCTTGTGAGGAAGGAGCAGTTGGCTTCCTTCACTTACACTGGCATCTCTTTTGTGGCTCATATTGAGAGTTGCAGTGAAAAGCTAAAAAATACACGTTGAACACTTGGAATACACTCCAGATCCTTTATTTGCTTAATTTGTCGGGACGGGCCTTACCCAGCCATGAAACTGCCTGTCAGGAGGCCCGTGCATAAAAACACCTTCCTCTGATGTAGAACAATCTAAGTTAGCTGAGATTTTCTGAGGCCACTCACATCAGACGGGCTTGTTAGTTAAGGGGGCTTTAATATGACAGATTTCCCAGCTCAGAGGAGGAAGCCACTTTAGCACCTAGTGCCTGTTGTGACTGATCTGTCACCTCTGAACCCCACCTCACAGCCAGTCACTAACAGACGACTCGGTGACGAGCACCCTACACCCCAACCTCCACTAAACACAGTACTCCTGTCACTCAAATCAGCTTTTTATTCTTGAGTGTCACTTTTCTTCCCCTTCTATTGTATGCTGTGAGTAAATTATACTTTTTTCCCCATCATGGGATTTAAACTGACCTGGTGTTCTCCAGATGACTTCAAAGCAAGCAACGCCATTCCTCACTCTTGGTTTAAATATTCTTTAGCATGAAAAAAAGGTTGAAAGTTAAGGATGTAAAGCTGTTATAATAACAATATCATAAAAGTGATAACTTATCTGACATTAAAAACTGTAACACTACCGGATGGGCTCAACTTGGCAGGACATGTCTGTTCCATATTTTCGGTTCATCAGCTCAGCGTAGGTCATCAACACTAGCACCTTTTCGCTGGTGTAGTGCTTCGGCCACTCCATCTTATCATAGGCGAATTTCTAAAGACACAAAACGTAAATGTTTACACACAGCCCGCCGAACAGATGACCTTACACTTAATAATTTACAAACCCATTAACCTGGATCAGCAGCATATTCGGCTTCCTCCTCTTAAAATGTGACACAGGCTTATCTTTGGAAACCAGAAACTCACGAATGATCTGCAAGACATGGTTTAAGCATTAAAAATTACTCCAATTATTTGTCAAGTTATAATAAAAAATAAAAAAGAAAGATCAAAATGTACCTCAGTGAAAGGAAAATGCTGACTCGCCAGTGTTTTCCTGCAAATAAGAACTTGTCTGTTTAGTTAAATAGTTATTAAATAGCAGAAAATCAGCTTTGACATTCTGAATTGCCATTCACCTCCTGATGTTTGCCTCAAAAGACAAGGCCTGGCGAGTCTGTTCGTAGCGGTGCCAGTCACACGGACACTGGTAATCGAAATCCTGAGGCTGACAGAAGCGATTACTGCCGCAGAGCACACATCCGCGGGACTCGTGAGTCTTAGCTGATCCTGATAACGAAAGAATAACAGTCAGTAAGGGGTCTCAGATGCTGAAATCTCTCACATACTTGCATGTTTTGACGTGACAGTTTAAAAGGCTTTAAAATAGCCACAGGATCAGGAGTGGAGGTCAGAGTTCAAAGCAGGGCACCACTCACCAGGATGTCGACACAAGTTGCAGTGAGGAACCTTCTTTACACCTCCTTCAAACACTTCTGTGGTCTCTTCATTCCACTGGATGAACCTGTAGTTATCAGAAAGAACACGAACACAACTTTTAACTCGGGCTACTCAGAGAGAAACTGCTTAGCTACATTCACGGGTGTTTGTGTTTTCTACCTCTGTAGGAGTGTTTGTCCTTTCAGCGTCTGAATGAGCCTCAGAGCCTGCTCTTTGCCAACACCTGGTATGCCCTTATGGAAACAGGAAAGCATTCAGTAAACAAAAAGCATTGATACTACAGATTTTCCTTTAGCCAATTTCAGATTAAGGTGTCTTCACTACCTTGGGAATATAATCACAGCCAAGGAGAATGGCCAGACCGACAAGATTCTCTCTGGACAGATTTAAGTCTGTTTGCACTCGAGAAGTCTGGTAACAGTCCACCTGAGGGTCCTGCAGTATAAAATACACGTAGGTCAGTGAATGATAGCTTCAAGGCTGCAGGATTTCCAAACCATCTGTAGCGTATTTACACAAGTAACTGCATCTTATTACTCCAAAGAGGTTTTTCTTAAGATTAACTTCCACAGACATACTTTACTGTTCATGTTGAAGTTCCTGTACACAGTACGGGCTCCATACAAGAAAGCGTCTCCATCGTTAGTGATGCAGCCGTCCACCAGGCCCTGTGAGTCCAGGTAGGCACACATGGCCTCAGCCTCTCCAGCAGCTGTCACCCAAGGTACACCCAGGTAGTCCAACATCTCTGCACACTACAGAGGGAGTACAAAGAGATGTAAGGCCACTGGAGGTAACAATTACAAATGAGAAATTTATCCCAGGAGTTCAAATATTTGATTTTTATTTACAACTTAACCATTAAAAGGTAAATAAAAATATTGTTGCCTGACAAAAAAAAAAAACACAATTTGTCATAAAATTTTCAAATAGACTTTCATATTTTCAAGTAAATTTGCCAGTTATTTCCTATAGGTGTAATATAAAAATGTTTCTGTACATGTTTATTGTTGTTTTTTCTTTATTTCTCAAAAATCTAACTTTTTTCTCAAAACTTCTAAATCTGACCTTAATTCTTGCCAGTTTGCTATTTTTGTCCTTATAACTTCATGTTGTTCCTCCAAATTTAAAAATTTCTTTGACATTTTTTTATTTTCTTCTTTTATGGAATTTATATGGTTTTCTCTAAGTTTGACCATTTTTTTCTAGTAAAATGGTGGTTTCTCATCATTGTTTTTATATTTATCATTTTACATTTTTCTCTAAACTTGACAGATCTTGCTTTTTCATCTAAATTGTACCGTCTTAAAAAAAAATGCCGTCGTAGCAAGCTGAAAAGTGGGCAGAGATAACCACAGACGTTTTCTTTTGAGCAGGAGATTACAGACCTACCTCTCTCAGCACGGCTTTAAAGCGCCCCCTGCTGGTGCCTGTTGCAAACTTCGGAGCAGTGCTCTTCTTGAAGCCTCCATATCTTGTTTCTGTCCTCTTGTTCATGGTTTCTGCTTTAATTTTTGGAGCCTCTCCTTCCATAACAAACTCGAGTTTCACCCCCATCAGTGTGAGGGACGATACCCTGAAAAATAAATTCCTGGACACAGCGTGGAGTAAGAAAAGCTTTTAAATTTATAGTTACTTGGAAGCAACAGCGTGATGAGTTTATTATGGGGACATTACCTCAGATGGGGCTTCGTGACTCTCCCCATCATTGCTTGGACGTGCTGGGCTTCGCACACCCACAAACTCAGGTCGACTGCCAGCGTCTTTCCACTCAAACTGTACAGAGGCACCGACTCACGAACCGGCTCCACGATAGACCACAAATCCTGAACGCCCATATTTACACACAATTGGATTTTAAACAATTAAAAACGGAGAAATGTATTTTAAAACCCCCAATGTTACAACAACAAAAACTGTACAGCAAGTCGGAGTTTTCGAACTGTGGCGCCATTGGGCCGCGTCCCATTTAGTTAAAGGTCTACGTACTAACACTGCCTTGTTTCTGCATTAATTGGCTTTGCTCTGAAAACAAAGTGGATGAGAGCTTTACATTTCATCTACAAGGTGATAGTCGTTATATTTATTAACAGATTAATTTAGCTTTAAATAAACAATAAATTATGAAGGACAAAGTAGCAATGAAGGAAACAGTCCACAGAGTCGGTCGAAACCCGGCGGGCTAAATAAGACGTCATATTAAAGCGCCTTCAAATCCTCGTTGCTATGGATACGAGGCACCGTTTACTGTCGCTCTCTTTTCAACCATGGACTCAAAAATACTCATTGAAATTGTGGGTGTGTTTAAAGACTGCAGTTTCCACGTTGCTAAAAGCATCGCCGAGGTAAACTAACGCTTTCTCTGGTTTAATTTCACCTAACCTTTTGACCTTTCACCCGTATTTGTCCACTCTGCTCAACAGGGACTAAAACTGCAGTTTCCTACGGCGTTTCTGGATCCAGAAATTAGGCCACTTTTTGAATTTGAGTGGCACGGGTATCTCTGCGACAAGAAGAAGGTATGTAACAAAATGTTTTTTGCTTTGTAAAAACTGGTAAAAACTAAAACTTAAACCTGCCCCTTGATAAATACTTTCCCTGATAATAATAATAATGATAATGATAATAAGATGCTAAACCAAACACTGAAATTAATTTTAAAAAATTAAAAAGAAAGTAACACTAGGCGTTCTAGATGCATAATCTTTGAGGTTATATTTGTCTTGAGCAACCAAACATTTCTTGGCTCCTTAAGCCTGATCCTGCCAGAGGTTTCTTCCTGTTACAATGGTGCTTTTCTTTCCCACTGTCGCCAAGTTCTATGTATGTGATCTGAAATGCAAGCAGATGAGGTGCTGTGGCAAAATCCTAAAAGGAGCAGCTGAAAGAAGAATGAGCTCAAAGATCAAATTCTTGGACATTTTTAATAGATTCAACTATTTTTTTCCATCTGTGCATCAAAATTGTTGATTAGTTTCTCTTAATTTCATCTTACTCATAGATAACTCAAAAGTTTGAGATAATAACCTGAAATTATTATCATACACAGCAGGCAGGATTTAACATAAGGTATTTAATGGTGGATTGAAAACAAAAGCCAAACAGAATTTGACAGGGAACACATGATGGAGGGCAACAGACATCAGAACAAGGACAAGGGAAGACTGAAGCAATACATACACAAAAACACAGACACAGAGAACAATCGGGGAAGTGGAAACAGCTGAGAAATTAGACACGGGGAGCAATGATGATCAGGGTGCATTCCAAAAGCCCTTCCTATCTCTTTTTCCTAACATCATCAAGGTCAAGAAAAGGTGGGTTAGGAGAACTGATAAGAGAAGAGCAGTGCTTTGAGAAAAAGGAAAATTAAAGCAAGATTTACTCATGTCTGCACCATGCAGAGCTGGCTTCTGATGTTACAAAGCTGCTGGAGCTACTCAAGTGGCACAAAGTCCACTTTGTGACTGAAAGTTGTAAACAGGAATATTTTTGCGGCTGGCCTTTATTGTATATGTATGTGTAGAAATTTCACTTTCTGGAGGAGAATATTTAAACAAGTCATGTAAATGTGATTCACAAAATCTGCAGCACACAATATATGGAAAAATTGCACAACATACAACACTTGGGCATGTTGTGGTTTTGATTGTTGTTATAAGTAGGGTTTATTTTTTAGGAAGGAGAGATGTTATCCAAACAAGTGCGTAATCAGTGCTTTGCATTAACGCAAAGCTGTGAGCGCAATGTCAAAGTTCTTTGTCCTTGAACTCTTCACTCAGTCCTCATACTGAGGATTCAATAATAATAACAACAACGCATTGTATTTATGGAGAGCTTTAGAAATACTTAAAGACACTTTACAAGCAATTAAATACGAAAATCACAGTATGGATAAAATAAAGCAGTTAGAAAGAAATCATAGAATTAAAACTCAAAGCATAATAAAATGTGCAATTCACTTGTATTTTTATTTTATTTTTATTCCTATTTATTCTATTTATCCCCTTCGTATATTTTATTTATATCTGTCTCTGTATGTATATATATATATATATATATATATATATATATATATATATATATATATATATATATATATATAATATTCTGTAACTTCTGTCGGTGCTGTGCTTTTTGGAAATCGAATTTCCCAGAGGAACCCACCCGAGGGATTAATAAAGTTCTAGCTTATCTTATCTTAAAATTAAAATGAAACAGAATAGCTAAGCTTCAAAAGATGTGTTTTAAGGCTGGCTTTAGAGATAGGGAACGACTCAATGTTGTGAATGTGGTGTGGGAGAGAGCTCCAAGGACAAGGGGCCACTTGGCGGAAAGCTCTAATGCCCAGAGTGGTCGGGCGAGGAGTAACTCCAAGTGTGAATGAGTGGCAATGTGCAGAAGGTCAGAGAGAGATGGAGGTCCGAGGTTATGGAGAAACTTGTGATCTTATGTTAAATAATGTTTTGTGTTCTTTTGCACGTTGTACAAGTCAGCTGTTCCATATAAACATATTAGAGGATTATATGGTGGAATAGTTTCTCTTCTAAAATTCCCTCTATTAATCACTTATCCCAACTGACCTGAAGTGAAAATTAATTTTGGATAATCATGAAGCCTACAATGCAATAACACACCTTGCTAACATATGCAGAACCTTAAACATTCGTAATCTTAAGCCATTCATATGAAAGCCAAAAGACATTACTATAGTTGCACTAGATCCTCACTTACATCAAGTGTAAATACCTTGGCTGCAATACATCATGTCAGGTTTCACTCTCTGGTAGACAAAGTTTGACACATAAACGTTATCTACTATCAAAAATAAAAGAGTAAATAACATACACAAGTCAAGATTAACCCTGTGACAGACTGGCGACCTGTCCAGGGTGTACCCTGCCTCTCGCCCTATGACAGCTGGATTAGGCTCCAGTGACCCTGAAAAGAATAAGCAGAAGGGAATGGATGGATGAAATCAGGATTAAGACATGACGCAGCAATAAAGAAACATGGAGACACGACAAACTGGGGAGACAGAATTGGATCACAAAAGATGATAACTAAAGATTATGTGACTGAATGAGGAACACAGACTGGAAACACAGGGGAGCAAGCACTGAAAGGACAAAGGACATCAAATTACAAAATCAAAAAAACATGAGCTCGCAGAAAACTCAAAACATCCCAAAACTCAAAAAAACTGAAATACCCAGGACCATGAAACATTATTTCAGTATTATTGTTGTTATCAGGAAAATACGAGAGAGAGACAGAGAGAGAGAGAGCACTATCACAATATTATATATAATATTAACAGAAATCCGCTCTTTCTAAAAAAGGTCATTTGAATATGTTACTTGGGGTCATACCTGAGGAAAAACACATGACCTATTTTAGACTGCTTTTAAGGATATTTGTGTCTTATAAATGTGAAGCTGCATATAAAATATCAGTCTAATCCTGCCTGGAAAACTGTGTTTTTACAGGTCTCCATATCTGCTGTCGGACATCTCGACCGGACATCCAAATACTTGAAGCATCATCACTATTTTCTAATTTGAGCTCAGTATAGGCATAGTACCAGGTGCTAAGCCTCTTACAGTCTGAAGAAGGATGATAATATTTAGTAAGGGGTTAACTCAACCCGACTGCTGTCAGATAGAAATATATTGTATGGACAAATGTGACACTGACATAATTAATTAATGTGGAAAAGTTATTTGTAAATGTAGCGGAAGTTAAAATGCAGCCTTTCCTTTGAAATATAGAATTTTAGTTGTTGTTTGATGGCATCATCTGAAATGAGTGATGGTGTTATAAATAGTGGAGGTGAACGTGTGGACAACAGCAGGTTTCTGAGGGTTCTTGATGCTCTAAACCTACACAGTAAAATACTGCTGTGATTTATGACATTACAGCTATTCTGGAACGCTGAATCACAGCACGCTCATTGTTGTTCCAAACTTGTGATTCAAGGAGCTGCGTGGTGAAGTGTGGCAGTACTCCAGTAGCCTGATGTGCTTTCTGAACGGCCGTCTCCTCGGTGATGAAAAGGATCTCGCCAGCTGGGCCAAGAATCAGTGGGGTTTCACTTTCACCCAGCCGCAAGCTTTCTACACGACTCTTGCTGAGGAGTACTACATCGAACACCTCCAGAAAACTGGGGCAAGTCACGCAAACACTGTCACTTAAATATCCATTATAGGTAAAAATATGTTGACCAGAGAAGTCAAATTCATTTTCCATCCATCCATTCGCTACCGCTTATCCTTTTCAGGGTCGCGGGGGGTGCTGGAGCCAATCCCAGCTGTCATAGGGCGAGAGGCGGGGTACACCCTGGACAGGTCGCCAGTCTGTCACAGGGCTAACACACAAGGACAGACAACCATTCACACTCACATTCACACCTAGTGGCAAGTTGGATTATCCAATTAACCTATCCCCACAAACTGCATGTCTTTGGACGGTGGGAGGAAGCCGGAGTACCCGGAGGGAACCCACGCAGACATGGGGAGAACATGCAAACTCCACACAGAAAGACCGCGGCCTGATGTTGGAATTGAACCCAGGACCTTCTTGCTGTGCGGCAACAGTGCTAACCACCGTGCCGCCCTCAAATTCAAATTCATTTTACCATATTTAAATATTCTATTAAACATTAAAATATTAAAATATTTTTATTATTTTACAGAACCTCTGTAAAAATTCTGTAAAATAAATTTTTTTCTGCTAAAAACAGAAATTTCTCTTGTACATAGTTGAAAAGCTGAATTTTAGTGTCATTTATTTCATTTCGTGTTCTATGTTCATGGGAGAGGTATTTATCAGTAGGAAAAGCTGTAAAAAAATACAAAAATACAGAATTTACACCCTCCTTCATGTTTCCTAAGCTCTCCAGTGTGCCAGATTGGAGTCTTTGCCAGGCCATTTCTGGCCCCCAGGCCTTGTGTTTGACAGCCCTGATATAGACAGTTTATTTACTAAATATACGGTGCTGATTTGCTCTTTGATTCCAAATACAGTAGTAAAAAAAAAAGTGGCTTATTAAGTGTATCTTTCTGATGACTGTTTAAAGTCGTGAATATGATTTGAAAACCAATTCATGTAAGATTCTTTCGAAAAATGTTGGGATGCAGCACATTTTATACCTAATCAAAATAACCAAAGGGAGCACACACTCAATATTAAAACTTTATTGTTGAAAAATGTATTTGATGACAACATCATGTTTGGGGGGGAAAAGTGCTCGAGGTGTATAAATAGTCTCGTATTCTTCTTTCAGTGTTCTAAGCTTATGTCTTTCTTTTTCACTGTTTCTTTCCTTGGGTCTCTTGAGTTTAGTCAGCTACTTTAACCTGCTTGGATTACACGCTTTATCTCTGGCAGTACTGCTCATGTCTGGTGTAACTCCATGCCTTTCCAGATATTTTGCATTGTGCATTTGAGTCCACCTCTCACTATATAAAATATTCAACATGCCTATGCTCTTTCACTGTAGCATCAGTTTGTCTTCATGGATGTTGAGATTGCGGGAGAAGCTGCGGGGAGGTTAATGTTTGAGGTGAGCCAACTTTGACACATAAGGCATAGGATCCAAACTCATTTGCATCCTGCTACTTTTCAAATGATCTTTTAAAACAGTCAGTCTAAACATTGAACTCCCGGATAAGAAAATATTTGATCATTACAGATGTGATCAGATATCATGTTTCCTCTGCTCTGCTCAGCTCTTCTCAGATATTTGTCCAAAGACATCCAAGAACTTTGAGGGTCTGTGCACAGGAGAGCAAGGACTGTCACAGAGTGGCTTCCCACTCTGCTATAAAGGCTCTCTGTTTCATCGGATTGTGCCCAATGGATGGGTGCAGGGTGGAGGTACACATGTATAAAAACATCAATATAATGTGACATCATACTTAAATATAGATACAGAAAATTTCACGATCTGTGATATATTAAACACTCTCATAAATATGTTGATAAATTGTTTAGATAGTTTTAATGGATTCATTAAATGTATTCATTAAAGTCAGCAGTACAGTTGTGGCTGTACCTATAAATTTCGCAGATATTTCTCCAGAGAGGAAAGGAAATGGAGGCGAGTCAATCTACGGGCTAATGTTTGAAGGTATGCTCTACAGCGTTATGTTTAGAACATACTATATAACTACACTATTGGACTATGATGTCCATAGACAACATTGTGATATGTAGGGAGAGTAGGGAGTGAGTGGAAGAGAGACTGGAGAGGTGGAGGTACGCACTGCACAAACTAGGAATGAAAGTCTGTAGAAGCGAGACAGAACATGTGTGTTAATGAGAGAGAAATGGGTGGAAAATGGATATGTAAGGAGCAGAGGTAGTGAAGGTGAATAGGTTTAATTGCCTGGGGTTAACCATTCAAAGCAATAAGAGAGGTGAAGAAGACAGTGCTGGCAGGGTAGAGTGGGTGGAGACGAATGTCGGGGGTGTTTGTGACAGAAGGAGAGCAGCGAGAGTGAAAGAGAATGTGTAGGAGATGGTAGTGAGAGCTGCTATGATGCATTGTTTGGAGACAATGCCACTAACAGACAAGAGGCCGAGCAGGAGGTGGCAGAGTTGAAGATATTAAAATTTGCACTAGGAGTGACCAGAAGGGAGATGATTAAAAATGAGTATATTAGAGGGAGAGCTCAGGTTGAACAGTTTGGAGACAAAGTTAGAGAGGCAAGGCTGAGATGGTTTGGACTTGTGCAGAGAAGGGATAGTGGATATACTGGACAAAGAATGTTGAATATGGAGCTGCCAGGCAGGAGGAAAAGAGGAGGAGGTTCATGGACGACAGAAGATATTAAACAAAAAGCTAAAGTTCTATATTTCAAAGGGATGGCTGCACTTTAACATCTACTATATTTACAAATAACTTTCCACATGAATGGTGTCAGATATTTAGGCGATAGCGTGTGATCCACTGAAGTGATCCTTAAAGAAAAAGAAGAAGAAAAAGAAGAAGCCATCATTGATTTACTTGTGCTTCCTCTATAAATGTTCACCTGAACTTGCACGTGCCTGCCCCTCTTTTAGATGAGAATTTTGTCATTTCACACACTAAGCGCGGCATCCTGGGAATGGCTAATAAAGGTGCCCACAGCAATGGATCCCAGTTCTACATCACCCTACAGCCAACGCCATGGATGGATAAGACCTATGTTGCCTTTGGGTTGGTGTATCTGATTTTAGCTGAAAGACATCTTTTTAATTCCCACAGCTCTCACGTAGCTTCAAAAGGGAAGTTAAATCTCTTTTCTTCTCTTTTGCAGTCAAGTCGTTGAGGGTCTCGATGTCCTGAGGAGGTTAGAAGAAGCTTCAACTTGCAATGAAAGACCCAAGTATGAGTGTAGAATTACAGCCTGTGGAGTGCTTAAACCAGAGCTCATAAGCTTTAATCATTGATACATTTTTAAGCATTTTTTCCTCAGTTTTTGAATCAGTAAAATAAACGTGGTATGCATGTTTTCTTTTCCTTTTTTGTTAAATAAAAGCTTCACATTTGCATTTTGATTTTTTTTTAAACTGCATTTTTAAGTCAATAAGCTGTTTCATTCTTTTTGATGAATTAGACACCATCCGCTATGTGCACGTTTGACAGATGTAAAGTTGATAAACTTGTTATGGGGCTTTTATTGTAATATTTATTCGTCTTCTTAGTTCATCTTCTATACAAGTAAAACCTGTGAAATTTGCTTTTTTATTGATGTGTACAGAAACTTTTACTGTGAGAGGGATCTTCACTAAAAACCCAAATACGTCTACTGGACAGAGAGAGCAGCAGTAATAAGCTGACAGTTTCAACAGTTATTGGGGTTGTAAAAGGCAATTCACAGGTTATCGCGTAATGGCATAAAAACAAATGAGCTTTTACTTATGCTTAAAGGAAGTTGGGAAAATGGCATACAATTAAAGTATGAGAAGTACAGTTTATCTATTCTTCTCAATAGCCATCCTCTTCATCACTTTCTACAAGGACTGACAGAGGATGGCTTTTCTTCCTCATACCACGAGCACTGCATTTTTACCTTTGGAGATCCTTTTTGTATTATATTGAGCTTTTAACATGGCAACATTTTTTAAGATTCTATTGGCCTCCTTTATTTCATTTAATTTCTTTCTGATTAATTTTAATTAGATGCTTTTTGTAAATCCTAACTTTTGGCATAAATTGAAGTGATCCTGGGTCATTGACCGAGCATTTTCTGTTTTTTGGAGTCTTAAGTTAATTTGATCTTTGTTCAGTTTGATACTTAGTTTAGCTTTTTGTTCTAGTTACTGTTATGGTACTGCTTTCACTTTACCCTACTACCCCTTTGTTCCTCATGGATAGTCTAGTCTCCCTCAGTGAATCCCTGTTTCATTACTTTCTGTGTTATTTTGTTAGTTGTGTCCTTTAGTTTACATCTCCATGTCTCGTTATTAGATTTAGGTCACTCCTCTGTAATTCCAAAAGTGTCTCCACTCTGCCCTCATAACCTCTTGAGTGTTTATACCCTCAGTTTGTTTTGTCATACTGTGGTTAGTGTTGTTACTGCTGTTTCTTGATATCTTCCCAGGCTTTTTTCTCTGTTCCAGTGAACTTTGTTTTTATCTGTTTTTTGGATTGTTCCATTTGCACCTCCAACAGAGGTTCTTTATTTTGATCATTGCTTGCTTTTGGGGTCCTCATACAGCATTACCTACTGATGACTAGGGATGGGTATTGATAAGATTTTCACGATTCCGATTCCATTTTCGATTCTGTTTAACGATTCGATTCTTTATCTATTCTCTTATCGATTCTTTTAAAAAAAGGAGAACACTAAGGTCGATTAGCTTAGAACTTTGTTTTATATCTTCTCTTTGAACAAGATAGAAATTTAGGAGTAACATGGCCTTACAAACCCAACAGTGAGATCTTAAGAGATCCACAGCCTACGGCTCTTCAATGGGGTGTCACCGGGTCCCCAGGAAAAAAAATTGTAAATGTAAAATAATAAAATAAATATTCTTCTGTAGCAATAACAAAGCATAACATAAATTATTCTGTAGCAATTACACAAGAATATCCAGTAATGTCCCTGCCTACAATTAAACACATTCACTTACCTAAAATTGGGGGCATCTGCTGTGGCAAATGGGTGCAAGCCTTTTACCACAAACTTAGTCACTGCTCGGTGACATTCGTCTATCCTGGCCTGAAAGGAGACGCTACCGGTAGACTGCAGCGAGAACTGCCAGCATCTGAGCCAGACTGGCAGGTTTTGTAATAAGGCAGATCGCGCTAACATAATATGCACTGTTAGTTGATGATTTACCTGCCGCATTAACGGGAGAGGACGTGCAAACGTTACCGCTGCTGCTGCGTTGAGATTCACGAGTCCGGAGTGGAATTAAAAACATGACATTCATTTAAGGTCATCACGTGTTTTGTGAACAAATGCTTTTGCATATTCGTAGTGTTTCCTCCCTTAAATTAAGTATCTACTTTGCAAGTATTGCAAGTTGCCCTGTTGTCATCCGTTCTCGTAAACTTTTGAGCGTTTGAGCCGCTTACGCGCCGTGTTTCCTGCCAGATAAATGACGCTCCGCAACGTGGTGACGTCATTCGGGGCGACTGGAATCGATAAGGGAATCGTTTGCAAAAATGGCAAACAATTCCAAGGAATTGAAACAGTGGGAATCGGTTCTCAACAAGAACCGGTTTTCGATACCCATCCCTACTGATGACATGGTATATCTTGACTCATTTCACTGTTTTGCTGATGATTTGCAGATTTATCTACCTTTAAAAGCAGGGTCAGACCATCCTCAGCTCCTATTACGCTGCCTTGATGACGTCAAACAGTGGTTGTCATTAAATTATTTAAAGCTAAATGAAAATAAAACTGAAGTTGTCATTTTTGGCAACTTTAATCACATCGATAGCACTCTGGGCCCCCTTTCCTCCTATTGTAAAACACATGTAAAAAACCTCAGTGTCTACATTGATGGTCCTTTTAAATTGAATAAGCAGGTGAGTGCAGTAGTTCAGTCCTGCTTCTTTCAGTTAAGACAGCTAGCCAAGGTAAAGCCATACCTCCCGGCTAACGTCTTTGAACGTGTTATTCACCTTTTCCTTACTTGCAGATTGGATTACTACAATTCATTGTATTATGGTCTAGACCAGGCCACCATCCATCGTCTTCAGATGGTCCAAAATGCAGCTGCTCGCCTGCTAACTGGTACCAAACGGAGAGAGCATATAACCCCAGTTTTAGCTTCTTTACACTGGCTTCCTGTCTCCTACTGGATCCAATTTAAACTTTTCCTTTTTGTTTTTAAGTCACTTAATGCCCGAGCTCCTCCTTACCTGTCTGAGCTCCTCTCTGCTTATGCTCCAGGAAAAACCATGAGGTCTAGCTCAAAATTAATGCTGTCCATCCCACAGACTTACCTCAAATCTCATGGTGATAGAGCCTTCTCTGTGGCAGGTCCCAGATTTTGGAATAGTTTCCCCCTAAATATTAGATCTGCACAAACACTTGAGCAATTTAAATCACTACTAAAGACACATTTTTATGCCCTGGCTTTTAACACACCATGACCCAAGCATTCTGGTCGTATTTTAAATAGTTTTAGTTATTGTTTTAATTCTTTTATTGTCCTATTATTGTTTTATATAGTTATTATTGTATTACATTGTTGCTTTTTAATGTCATTTTTATATTGTTAAGCACTTTGTGCAGCATCGGCTGTTTGAAATGTGCTATATAAATAAACTTGACCTTGACCTCCGAGCATGAAGTAAGGAGAGCCTTCAAGAGAGTGAACACCAGGAAAGCAGCAGGACCAGACGGCATCCCAGGTCGTATCCTAAGAGACTGCGCATACCAGCTAGCTCCTGTGTTCACTGAGATATTCAACATCTCTTTATCTCAGTCGGTGATCCCCACATGCTTCAAAGAGTCCATCATTGTTCCTGTCCCGAAGAAACCCCACCCTGCTTCTCTCAATGACTATCGCCCTGTAGCCCTCACCTCAGTAGTGATGAAGTGCTTTGAACGCCTGGTCAGAGACTTCATCATTTCTTCACTACCAGACACACTGGACCCACTACAGTTCGCTTACCGTCCAAATCGTTCCACAGACGATGCCATCTCTCATCTCCTCCACACATCACTCACTCACTTGGACACTAGAAGGGGGAATTATGTTAAAATGCTCTTCATAGACTACAGCTCTGCATTTAACACCATAATTCCCTCCACACTCACCACCAAGCTGGAGCATCTGGGACTCAGCTCATCTATGTGTCAGTGGATCTCCAACTTCCTAACTGGCAGACCACAGGCAGTAAGGATGGGCGGACATGTCTCAGCCTCCACCACTCTCAGCACTGGAGCCCCCCAGGGGTGTGTTCTGAGCCCCCTGCTGTACTCTTTGTACACATATGACTGTGTGGCCACTACCAGCTCCACCACCATCATCAAGTTTGCTGACGACACCGTCGTGGTGGGCCTGATCTCTGATAACAACGAGACGGCCTACGTGAAGGAGATTAGGAATCTGGAGAACTGGTGCCAGAGGAACAACCTCCTTCTAAACGTCAGTAAGACAAAGGAGCTGATAGTGGACTTCAGCACTAAGCAGGAGAGGAACTACCAGACCCCCGTCATCAACGAGTGCCCAGTGGAGAGAGTGGACAGCTTCAAATACCTCGGAGTTCACATCACGCAGGACCTGTCATGGTCCTGTCACATCAACACCGTGGTGAAAAAGGCCCGACAGCGTCTCTACCACCTCAGACGCTTGAGAGACTTCCAACTGCCCTCCAAGGTGCTCAGGAACTTTTACTCGTGCACCATAGAGAGCATCCTGGCGGGAAACATCTTAACCTGGTTCGGGAACAGCACCATGCAGGACAGACGAGCTCTACAGAGGGTTGTGCGGTCAGCTGAGCGCACCATCCGCTCCGAGCTCCCTGACCTGCACTCAATCTACAGCAGGCGGTGCCGGACCAAGGCCAGGAAGATCGTGAAGGACCTCAGCCATCCCAACAACAGACTGTTCTCTCTGTTGAGGTCAGGAAAGCGATTCCGCTCCCTGAAGACCAACACAGAGAGACTGAGGAGGAGCTTCTTCCCGCAGGCGATACGGTCTCTCAATCACACCACCACACAGTACTGACCCACACATATGGTTCTTACACACACACTGGACTTTCTGGACTTTGTTTTTGCACAACACTGGTCACTATATTCTTCATTTCCGGTTAATACTTGTACAGCTGCTGTTATTGTATATATATTTATTTATATTTAGATTTCTTCATACATTCTTATATAGTTCTATATTGTGTATTGTGTATTTTGTTGTACAGTTATTTTATTTTCAACTTTAATTTATATATTTTATCTTATTCTTCCCAGTTAAATTTACCCTTCATTCTAATTTGTGTTGTACAGTTATTTCATTTTTAACCTTAATTTATATTTTATTCCTTCCTAGTTAAATTTACCCTTTTTAATTTTTCATATTTATTTCCTATCTTATTCATAGCCTTTCCTTTTTTGTTTTCTTTAGGTCACGAGCAGTTGTCCAAGCATTTCACTACATATCGTACTGTGTATGACTGTGTACGTGACAAATAAAATTTGAATTTGAATTTGAATTTGACCTTGACCTCCCATTGCCAAACCTTTGCCCTGCATACTTTATGTGTGTTTAGGTAAGATATATAAAAATGTCTGACCACACTGACAATGTTTACCCCACATTTGGTTGTTGACATCTGGTCAGCATATCCGCAATGAATATGGGCATTGTATTCTGGGTAGAGACCCGCATCATCAGGATGGAAATGCTTGACTCAGAACAACGATTCATTGATTTGCAGCGACCCTTTCTCCCTGACATGGCAAGTGCAACCAAACCAAGCCACAAAATAGCTCCACAAAGCAAAACAGCCACAGGGTCAACACCCTGTCGGGATAAAAAGTTCAGGCTTGTCCTAAATCTGTCAACAAACTCAATATAATATTACTCACATGTAAGCTTTCCTTCATTGGCAGAGTTAAATATGTTAAAATTTTAATTGGGAGGGGCTAGGATGGACAAGATTAGAAACGAGTAAATAAAAGGGACGGTTCAGGTTGAGCGCTTTGGAGACAAAAAGAGGCAGGGCTGAGATAATTTGGACATATGCAGAGCAGGGATAGTGGATGTAAAAGATTAGCTAGGCCCTCTAGCGGGTCCATCCCGGCTTCAGTGTGAGGTTATTTTAACCGTGTTTTGAGGCACAGGTGCACTTTCATAAGGTGTTTTAAACAGGGTCTCAGCCAATCAGAAGTGCAGTCTCTTCCTCGCTTTAAGACACCCTCCTCCCTTCCCTGTTGTTGACGTACTGCCGACCCATTTCTTGATTTTTCTCACCCCTCCCCAGGAGCTGCCACATGACCTGTCAAGTAGGAAGTGTTGAAGCTAGCGAGCAGCAGCAGGAACAGCGGCGGCACGAAACGCAACACAGAGGGGTAGCTGTGAAATCTCCCGAGTCTCGTTCTCGACGCTTCTCTCAAGATACGTTTACCCCCTCTCCACCCCTGTTGAAGCAGGCTCAGCAATAAGTTGTCCGCAGTCATGTACGTGAAGGTGGTGTTTTTCGCGGTGGCTCTGGCTCTGATTGGCGCGGCGGTCGCGGCAGACTCAGGTAAGTTTTCGCGACCTCTCGTCGCCGAGCTAGTAGCTAGCTACAACCCCGCTCTTTAGCCGGATATCCACCCCCGGGAAACAGATATATCTCCCTGCCCGTTTGGCTCCATTTTCGGTCACCTCCTATTATTTAAAAAAAAATGTCCCGCTTTACGTAAAAATAAAATACCACCCCACCTTATTTCCTTCTAGCAGCTTGTCATCTTTATGTCTACGCTGGCCACTTAGGACTCGAGGACTAGCTAGCGTTTGTTTTTGAGCTCGTTATAGTGGGATTATTTGTGTCATGGTGCGACCTCTGAGAGGAATTGTGACACTCGCTTTAAGCCAAACTGTCATATCCATCTGACTGGGTTGTTATGAAATATAAACGGGTTAGTTTAGCCACATTTTAAGATCTTTTTACCAGCTTGCTTTGATGATCTGTGCTTAAAGGATTTAAATGTGTAAATTGGCCACCTTCTGGTGATCTACAGGGAAACTATTGGAAGTTACTTTAAATGACAAATAACCATAACTAAAATCTGATTTCTTTGCAGATGGATGTTCCGAGCTAACTTCATGTGATAAATGTGTGGAAGTCGCTGAATGCCACTGGGGTAATTGCTCATGTGAGTACCTGTCTTGTATTTTTGAAGCATGAGAGTAAAGGTTTGTATGTCCAGAAGCCTTGGGGTTTATTGGTTGCATAATTCCCAGTATAGAAAGCAATGATCTCATCCCTGTTTCCCTAAAGCCCAAGCAGCAGCTTAATGTGGTATCCCCAGCTGGTGCCAGTGGATCTGAACAGGCTGGTTTTGGGAAGTAAATTATGGATGCAAGCCAAGTTTGGAGCAATGCTCTGCTACTGTTATATTAAATTGATTGTGGGGGATTAATAAGGGGCTTTTTTTCTCCCTTGGGGCATTTAGATTTATTTTCAGTTCTGGTTGGGGTTTCGATTCCCTTCATTTCTGTGCTGCTTTTTTTTCTATTGTCATAAAGTCAAACCTGCTCTGACGTGTCCCTGATTTATACTCTTTTGCACAGCAGTTAGGAAATATGCTGCCCTAATTTGGAAGTGTGCTGGCTGTGATGTGAAATATGCGTTATTCAGTTACAAGGGTCTGCCATGACTAAAACTACATGACAAATAATTTCCTGGCTAAGTAACGGCTTTTCACTCACTACATCCTCCCCCTGTGGTTTGGTGTGTTTTGTTTTTAGTTGTTGTTTTTTTCACACTCTTACCAGGAAATAAGGTTACAGGTTTTATGGGCAAAGCAGAGATCAAGGTATTGTGATCTTGTTTTCTAAAAATAAAAGGTCTGTTGCACAAATTGAGTCAGCAGATAGGAGTTAAATTATACAATTAAACTTCTGTCATTTTTGGGTTAAAGCACGCTACTTCTTTAATCCTCATGAGTGGTGGAGGCCCACCAGGGGGATATTAACTGTATCACCCTTGAGAACCTTGTTATATATTTGTGCAGTGTCTATGGAAGGAGACACAGCACAGGTCTCTGGTGATTTGTGAAGATGATGATCGGGAGAGGAAGTGAGGGGATGTGTGGCAGGAAGCCTGCAATATCCTTGTGCAGAGGAACTGAAGGAAGGAGTGGATAATGGCAGAAGTGCAGGAAAGAGTGTGGAGATTGGATAAAAGATAAGCTCTCTTCATTATAATTTAAGCCTCAAGTTTGAGACAAAAGTATCTGGTGATCTCAGCCTGGAAATCTTCTGCCTTTAGGCTCGGTTAAAGAACTCTTTGTAATCTCAACTGTATCACAGGTTGGGCCACTGAAGCGAAATGGCAACAGTTAAATTTAATAAGACAGGTGCCTGCGCTTTACCTCTCATGGGAGCTGACCTGTTTGACAGCGTTACTGATGAGAAGCTGTATTCAGATTAGTTGATCCCACACCCCCTCCTGCTTTGTCTCTGAAAGGGAAACGATGATGCACACTGCCTGAAGATTTGTTGGGTGGTTAAACAGGAGAGGTGAGATGGCGGTTAGGTGCCTCTTTTCAGAGGACTGGATTGGTAGGTTTCCCAAAGGAGACATATGCCAGGGTTTACAATTTACGCACGGATGGAGAGGAAAACTCACAAGTCACAGACGCCAAAAGCCCAGAATCTTCAGAAAATATATTAAGATAGCCTTGTTAGGTTTCTAGTAATTTTTAGTTTTATTTCACAAATATTTGTGATAGCAGTTTTTCCCCCCACTCTATCCAAATAAGATAAGAACTCTTGAGTCATGTTTTGTCTACTTGGCCTTTTGTAACCGCTCTCAAGCCTGCTGCATTATAAAGTCCTGGTGTAAGCCTACAGCTAAACCTCTCACACAGTCGTGAATGAATCAGCTCTTCGAAGTGAACTAAGCAAAAACCGGAAAGGTCAGCTCTGGACACGTTCAAGTCGGCTTTTGTGAAATGCAGCATAACCACACTGATGTAGCGAGTAACCGCCTCCTACACTGTCATAACTAGATTTATCTTTGGTTTAGGGATTTTGTATAAACAGGTCTTCAGCGTCATTTCCCTGATGCGTGGTATTTAAAAGCTTGAAAGTTTACATGTGTGGACGCACGCTCTGTAGTGCCTTTTAAGTGCAGGTTGAGATGAGGCTATTTTCTGTGGTATGCTTGAGGCCCTGTGCGACTTACTTTCACTGACATCAATTTGTGGACGTTACCGGGTGGTGATGATAATGGCACCATTTTGGAAAAAGGCTGAGAGCGTGTCCTACCTTTCACAGCTGGCTGTGAGATAACATCTCTCTGACCTATTTGAGAGTGAAAGGAAGGAGGGGGGGGAAAATGCTCTTCCTTCGTGGTTCAGCATACGTTGCCTGCAGGGTCTGGTCACACACAAGGTGTGAAATACAAGGCGGGCAAATAATTTCGAATTTACTTGCTCGTGGGCTTCTTGAAAATCACAGTTGGTAAGGTAATGAGTCATTTAAGTTTCCAGCCTAAGGTAGCAGGATGTGCGTAAAAACAGGGAAGAGCTGCACATTTGTGTGTTGTGGCAGCGAACTACCAAATACGCCAACAATCATTTGAGCGGCACAGTGACACATGCTATGCTGAAACATTGCATCATAAGCTTGTCAAACCAGTTATTATAATTCAGTAGCTGCTTGGTAGTCGCTTGTGTCCAAGGCGCAAAATGCACAACTTGATACACAAGACCACAAAATAAGCCCTTTGTGGAGTGGAAAATACAGCTACTGAGTCATTTTTGACTTTGTTCAGACAAAGATGCTTTCAGTAAACCGCTTCAGACTCGCCTGCTGTTAAAAGTTGATTTGTCTTTAATTTATGGGCAGCCACCTGGTGAGGGTCATTGGGCTTGGCTGCTCTGGATTATAGTGTAACAAGAAAAGGTGGTGTATGATGACGTTTTACAGCACCAGGTGCAGCGCAGTGAATGGAAACCGTCCCCTTTTATGATGTTCCTGTATTCAGGATGGTAATGTCTCCATATGCTCATAAACCAATGCGAGAGCGATTTCACAAAAAGACGAGCTCAAGGGTAATTGATGGCTTATCCCATCACCAGATGTTACTGCAGCTTATTGTAACAGAGTCCTGACGGTGAAAAGATATTTCCTTTAAAGACTGTGTTAGGAATCAATGTCCTGTAGACAAGTGACAGCAAAGTGCGTGCCTGCTGTTACTCAGTAACTGTTTTTATGTCCTGTAAGATTTCCTGATAAATGAAAGCCCTGCTTGGCTCAGGGGTCAGCAACCTTTGCTATCAAGAGTCAGACTCAAATAAGTACTTATTTATTTAGTCTGTTTTTTATATTGTTGGTATGCTTAACTTGCGTTTTTACCTTCAGCTTTTGATATAGCTTATTTTTTCTTAATAGTAACAGAGCCTTTTAAGTATAAATTAACCTTATGAACATTATTAATAGGTGTAATTTAAATCTTTTACCACATGTGACCATTATGCAGTGGACCATTTATGATTTAGTATGTCATTGTTCAATAATAGAGCTAGAATATTGAATACATAAATAAATAGCAGCCTACTGGCTTGAACTGTATTTATAGTAAACAAAAAAGGAACATTCAGTAGCACATGGAGCATAGAATAAAGAGAGCAGTGTTGTTAGTAAAAGCAAGCTGATTCAATTCGCTATTTTTCCTCAAGGACATTTATTTACGTTTTCAGGAGGTCTAAGCATTTATGTTTATACATCCATGCTAGTCACCACAATTGAGCCTTAGAGTCACTGGAGATGGGACAGTAAGCCGTGTGTTTGCGACTCCTGGCTTCGTCACTGATATTCATGGAATAAATGCACAATTAAAATGATTTTAAGTAAAAAATTTTAATAATAGGGATGTATATAGTGTTTTTTTCCCTCCCCCTTGCAGATTAGACTTTATTGTATTTAACATATCTGAAAGGGGTGAAAACTGCTCCTCATGATCGAGTTACTCTTTGTATTTTAATTTGAATTTTTTATTTACGGTCATGTTTCAGAATGAAAAACATTGCATTTCTTACATTTGAGATGCAACAGCCAGCATTTTAACATTCCTGCAAAAAAAATAGCCTTTAAGTAGACCAATCATTCAGCTGGAACACATCATACACTTCAGGAGTTTAATTGGACACCATCAATTAATAATTTTTGCCAATTGATCCTTGCAGAATCGTTTCAAAAGCTTTTAGTAAAACGTGGTTCATGCTGAACAGCAGCAGTGAAACTTGCACTGTGAAGCTGGGTGTGGACAGAATGTATAGTCACACGGTGCTGCTGACAGGAGTGACTCATTGTCACGTCACTGTGACACAGGCTGAGCAGTGGAGAAACTCTCACAAATTGACTGAATTTGTGGAATTTCAATTTGCTCCTGTTAATGAAGTCTGTAAAGCAGTGAATCCTGCAGCTTAACTTCTTGTCAGTATTTGGGTCTGGAAAGACTTCATGGAAGGGCAAAGTCCCCTTCTGTCGTGGTTAATAAGTAATGAGATTATTTGCTAAAATGTCATACAACTAGATGACCAAAGCCAACAGGCTGGAAAACAGAGGTGAAGTCACCTTAGCTGAAAACGATGAGGGAATATAACTCAATGACTCTACTTTATATTTGAGGGGGAAACTTGTGTCTCCACGTTTTTGACAGCCTTAAACTGTTTTCACAAATTACCCTCCAACAATGTTTGAAGAATTAAGGTGGGGAATTGCACACAAAAGGAAATAATCCACCTCATACATATTCTCACTAATGGAAAGGCTTCGACTGGTTAAGGTGAGAGATGCTGTCCGAGTAGAGCAAGTAGGAGGAAAAAAACATGATATCCACTCACTAGCTGTGAATTCTGATGGCGATTACCATCTGTAGTCTTCCACGGGCACAATCAGACATTACATGGACTTTGACTGTATGTCTGATCCGATTGAGTCGAGTATTCAGGTACTTGCATGCAGCTCTGCAAGAAATGTCTGGAAGTTTTTGGGGCTGAAGTCCACTTTAGTTACAGGTTACTTAAAGGTGACTTAAAACGCATACGCAAGAGATTAAACCTCAACAAGCCAAAGATGAAATTGCTTCTTATAATTAATTTGCCTTTCTTTATTTCTATTTGTGGGGTTTGTTTATCCCAAAAAGTGGCAAATTCCCAAGTTACTGCAACCAAAACATTAAGTGAAAACTACAAGTTGGAAAATGAACTGTATGATATGAGAATGCAAAATGGTTTCACGAAGCAAAAATTACACAAAGAATGAAGTAGGAAACAAAGTGAAATTAAATAAAGAACCACAATAAATTAAAAAAAAGGAAAACAAAAAACAAGGCTGCCATGTTAGAGAAGGTGCTCCACTGCCTGTCTATTAAGTGGTGCAGGGGGGGGGTCCAGATTACCCTCCCCCTCAGCTTCCACAGTTATTTGGATGCTGGGTTCACAAGCTCGTGGGCAGGTGGAGGAATTCAGACCGCACCAACATTGATGAAAGAGAATTCCCGATCCATGTGGTATGAATGTATTACACAGTTATAGGATAAATAACAAAAACATTTTAACTGTTTCCTGTTGAAATATCGGGCATTCCACCATATTTAGATTATAAACTGTGCCTGTGTGGGTTTCCTCCAGATAACTCGGCGTCCTTTCACTGTTTCAAGATACTTATTGGGTTAAGAGGTGATTTCAAATTGCCCTGAGTGTGAATGGTCATCGGTCTCTCTGTGTTGGCACTGTAATAGGTACCCTGCCTGTCATCCTGTGACAGCTGGGATAGGCTCAAGCCCTCATGACCTTCAGTTTAAATAAGTGGTGGTGAAATACTTGGAGACAACAGGTGATAAAGATTTTTCTTTACATATCTGTTTTGCTTTATTTTGGATAGCTGGGTTTTTACGCATAGTTAACTAAAGAATCTGAATACTTCTGTGATCCCTGAGAAGGTATCCAATTATCTGAAATAAATAAGTAAAAATAAAACAAACTAGTGTGAGACATGCTCAGCTTTAAAGTAAATGAAACGGAAGTGTAATGATGGCGGAGCAGAACATAAAAAGACACCATGACTGCAGGATGTGAGGCTGTGTGAGCAACCGCTCTGGGGGAGATAAGGAATTAGAACTGCTTCACTGCAGATCAAATCGCTGTTTGTATAAATGAGATCGTCATTTGAAGCGTCATCTTAGCACATATGCTTCTTTTCTTTTAGATCGAATATTATTTTAGAGTACACAGAGTGTGTTTTTATTGCTTGTGGCTGCTTTCTGTAATCTGTATGAGCGTAACTTCAGTAATTAACCGTTGCTGACACTAGTTTAACTGCTTGTGCAAATGTAATTAATATAAATCATAAACCAGTCATTTAAAATATCATGCTTTTCTGTCTTTCAGCAATTTTTAGCTGTTACAATGGGACTCTAAAAGGAAATGACTCCTGCATCAACGCCAGCTGCTCCGGTAGGTTTAAAAGTAAACTGTTATTCTACACACCAGAGTGTAAATTAACATTTTACGTGTTTTTTAACATGATGTTTTGGGCTCTAAGAGATTCTGTTTGTCTCACTAACTAAGGTGTTGATTAATGGTCAGTCTGAGTGTCTGAGTCTTTTCCTGTTTTTCCTATTTGTTTGTGTTTGTAACATTAAAAAAATGCTGTTGTAGACTGTTGTGACATGTCTTTGTTGTTTAAGTGGTTTATCTTGCTTTCCTCTTTACCTCCTCTTTTGGTGCTGGTTCCCTGTCCATTTTCAGGCTCTGTGAGTACGCCCAATCCTACAACCCCCCATACTACTGTTGTTCCCACCACCTCTAACAGCAACACCACAGGTAACCATTCCCTGAAATCCTCAGCTTTTCCCTCCTGTTGTCTGTGCTAGAGCAGGGCGATATGACCAAAAATATTTATCACGATATACATTTGAAAATTTGCGATAACGATATAACTGACGATATAACTCACACTAGACAAAATACTTTACAACTCCACAACTTTATTAGTGCAAAAAAAAAACCCCCATCAATGTATTTTCACTTAAACAAGCAGCTGTTTTATGTGCATTAAAGTTATATAAAAATGTAACAGTGCAAATTCCTTGCTGACAGTTTAACCAAAAGGCATTTCCAGTGGAAATTGGCCGACATATCCTCAGCATAACCATGTATAATATCCACAAAACCTAAAAAGAGGTTATACACACACACAACATATTATGTTGAAGCACAGTACGTATCACTCCACCAGGCTCCTGACTACGATAGCTGTAATGCTCCGACAATCCATCAAGCGGTGCGGGTTTGTAGCTTAGCAAAGTCATACTAAAACATTTGACAGATTTTCGAGCGCCGTGTAGCACATAAAATCGTTTCGCGGTCAGTAAACACAACCAGAATTCATACATAAGGCCCATTGGATTATAAGGGGCACTGTCGATTTTCAGAAAAATCAAAGGATGGATTTTAAGTGCGCCGTATTTTCCAAAAAACATGGTAATAACGACGGCCCGCTAGCATGCTCTACCAAAAATAGTGCTTTGTTGTGTGTCTGACGGACGAAAGCCAAACCAATTCCACACCACTGAAGTTGCAGCAGTTTTACAAACCAATTCTGGTTCATCCGTTTCATTCAACTTTTTGCTTTCGCCGCCATGCTTTTTCCGACGTATGTGTATGAAAACAAAGGCACTGCGCATGCGCGTTTTACCCATATTCTATTGCGATATTTCATTTTTCTATCGTTGCTCAAAATTATACCGGTATTACTGTGAACGGTATGATATGGCCCAGCCCTAGTCTGTGCTAATGTTGAAGTGGTCTCATTAATAAAAATGTGATCTCTTAAAGTTGTAATACTTAAGAGTTTCATGGATTTCGATACCTAATGCTGCTGTGTTTTCCAACTAGTGGCTTTTATTGCGACAACTAACAACCGCTTTCCATTAATACCTACGTGGATCAACTCGACTCCTTACCCATTACGATGAAGTACAAACTGGCTTTTTGTCAGACTTGGGAATTGTTGTGTAAATTTTTTAATTTTCCATTTCCCTTGTTGCCGGTTTTCAAAAATGGCAGTTGTGATTTTTGTAAAGGAGACTCTCATGATTCATCAAGTGACACAACTAACTAGCCAATCTGTGGCACGTAGACCCTTGATGTCACATTTTCAGATCCATCTTGAAGAGAGCGCTGGACTCAAAACCTATTGATTGGGTTGGCCTTTCCTATAGTTTGTATTGATAATGCTGACTTGTCTGCAAACACTTGCGATATACTTTCTCATCTATATTTGTAGTTAGGTTTTAGTGAAATTTGAAATAACACAGTGAAAATTGCAGCGAGATTCATGTAAGAACCTTCAGCAATCACTTGCCAAGTGGTTGCAGAGTGCAAACGTTTCACTAGCAACCAGTGACTACTGGGGCCACTGACAGGTCTTTAGACCTGCAGGGTTACAGTTGATTTCACAGCAACTGGCCGCAACCATGTTAACTGATGGAAGAATATTCGTTTTTTTTCCATTGCGATCAGTGGTTGCCAGTGGGTCTCTTGGCCTGTGTGAATGAAGCCTTAGGTGAAAAGTTAGATCAGAGTTACAGGGTACAATCAAACAGACAAGCACATCCCGTTGTGCAGTAGCATGGTTGATTCTGAACACAAGGCTATTGATCAGATTTCTAGAGAAAAATAAAAAAACAAAAAAACACAGAATTGAATTTTTAAATCCTCTTTAAGACTCAAGACGCTTGAGGAAAACATCATACAGAGCAGATAAATTCCTGTTGCGGGAGCTGCTCGGTGTGTGGATCAGTCTATTTTCAGGTCTGCTTAAATTACAGGCACCATACCTCCAATTCCTAGCTAACTTCACTGCCCTCTGCTTCTGTTGTTGTTGTTTAGAAAAGAACTTGCATCATATGAAGCATGAAATCAGATTTCAGTGCATCCAAACTATTAACGTTGTTGGTGTGTGCTGAATAGGCGGAGTCAACATTTAAACTGTGTCAGCTGACGCATGAATTGCTCAGTTCAAGCCTATGACTGATACAAAAACAACAAGGTCATTCCTACAGTGCAGGCACAAACTGAAAACTAAAATCAGTTTGTCTTTAATGGCAGCTGGTGATTGCTGGTATCATTTATTATTTCTTTAGCATTTTCTTTACCACATCTTATAATTATTTTATTTATATCATATTATATTATATTACATCTCTCAGTGCACTAACCAAACACCCCATCAGATCCATGGGATTTTGAAATACGTGCTATTTCCTTGCCCCTTCTCGTCTCTTTTTTGCCATCTTCTAGGAAAGAAAAGCTGCTTATCCAGTGTTTACACTCTAGCTAATCAAAGTGTAGCTATAGTGTTAAATCAGGACCAGTGACCAGAAATTTAAATCTTAAGGATTACAAACTGAAACTTGTGATATAACCTGCTTGTTTTGAGGCTAATAGATGGGTAATTACTGTGATTCTACTACAGAGAATGGAACCATTACTACTACTCCTACTGCTACCCCCAATCCACCAACGACACACTCAAACTCCTCGAGTACTTCTTCAAGTAAGTCTCAGAAACTATACGATTTTTACGTCTGTCTTGTAATGTACAGAAACATCAGTAACCGATTTCTGAACTTTCATCTCAGCTGTAACTGTCACAACAGTCAGCCCGACAACCGCCCCTCACAAGAACTCGACCTTTGATGCCGCAAGCTTCATCGGTGGGATAGTGCTGGTCCTGGGGCTGCAAGCCGTCATCTTCTTCCTCTACAAATTCTGCAAGTCCAAGGACCGCAACTACCACACCCTTTGAAAAGTTCGCACTTGACCTATCCTCGCCAACTAGACCCTTTCAGAGAAAGCTCCCTGATCAGCACACACTCATCCATGTGGTCTCAAACAGTGTTTTCAAGCAGGTTAATTTTGTAATCAATCATCTTTGTGGCACTTGTGATTCTAGCCTCCCTTAGTGCTGCTGTTGTAGTCACTATAGAGGAACCCACGCATGCCCGTATGTGTGATAAATCAACAGCCAAACAGATCCTCAGTGACGAGGCATTCAGGCCTTGAGCATATGGATTACATCATCTGGTAGCTGCTCCCACCTCCATCATGCAGTTACTCATTTCTGCAAAGACCATTTCCCAGTGAATCTGAAAGGAAGGGGGGTTGTGTTATTTACAGCCTTCCTTCTCATACCTTCGTCAGTTAAATAGGCCACATAAGAGTTAAAAGAATTATCCATGTATACAAAGCGGCTCAGGAGTCGTACAGCTACAGAGGTCACGTTGATTTGGAAACACTGTTTGAGATCACAACTGCTCTTTAACACGACGACTTTGATGATTCAGTTTTGCTTTTGCCCTGTTAAATTGTGGTTTCCTCCCCTCTGTGCAGCTGTATTATGTATATTTGTTCATAGATGATGTAAAAGAGGCGGGGATTCTTTTTTTTTTTTTTTTTTTTTTTTTTTTTTTTTTTTTTTAAAAGGGGATAAAAGCAGAACCAAATCATCCAATGTCGTGGATAAAACAAAAAAACAGGCTTATTTATTGATGGGTGTCTCCAGTAACATTTAGGAGTGCTGTGTGTTTTCTCCTGCTGAATCCTACCTTTCCATCCTAATATTCAAGATGTTAAAACACCAACTGCCAGCGGGGCAGCTCAGTGCAATAAATCATGTATCGAGCTCATTTCCCAGCCATTAATCTCCCAAACTTCCTGATCTTAACCGGTGTCAAATTGTCCATGCACGGGTTGCCAACGTGGAGCTTGCTGTTCTATTCTGTGGAGTAATTGAAAGGATCAAAAATTAATGATGGTAGAATATTTGTTAAAAACGAGAATGGGGAAGTTTTGGGTTGTTGTTGTTGTGTTTTTTTTTTTTTTTTTTTTTTTTTTTTAATAGTAAGTACATTTCTTGATGTAGACAGTGAAAGCAGTGAAGTGCCTTTAATGTCCTATATGACTTAAAGAGAAGGAGGGGTGAGTGTTTATTAGTTTATAAGGGCGAGAGAACTGTATCGCCGTGAGAACCATCGTATTGCAGCTGGACTGAAGAGCCTTTAATGTTGGTGAATGCAGTAGATGGTGATAACAGGAGGGCCTGGGTCTTTTTTTGGGGGGTGGGGGGGTCCACTGTAAGTTAAACAGATATTCAGTGCATGAAACCCACAGTTACTTCAGTGGTAACTTTGTAGAAAGTACTTAAAGGTACTCTAGCATCTAATTTACCCTCTAAAAGCTCGCAATTCATGTTTTCCAAGTTCAACCAGGGAGGGGGGTTTTAGAGTGGTGTTGTAAATCTGAGTGAAGAAATGGGGAGAATATTGGGCGTGTTTAAAAACTTGAGAATCAGAGAGAGTGAATAGGGGTAAATGTTGGACTGTTTTGACTGTTTTGTTGTTTTTGTCAAATGAGCATCGCACCTCTTGATTTTGGATTTTTGCCATGTTAAGTGAGAGGATTGTGAATGAAGAAACAGCTTGGTGGCTGTGCTTAAAGCTTGTGCCGATTCCTCTGATTAGCTTGCTGCTAACTGTGATTATTTTCTTATTTCTCTTGTACATAGCCACATCCTGTGTTGTTGTTGTTTTTGTTGTTGTTGTTGTTTTTTTTCCTGAGTAGTTGTTGTTGTTGTTGTTGTTGTTTTTTGTTTTGTTTTTTTCTTGTAGTTGCTTGCCAGTGTCAGGAATGTTTTCTTTAAATGCCTTTTTCCCCTCTTGCATGCTGGATGCTTGGAGTTGTTTTTTCCTTCCTTTGCATATGCTCTTAGGGATTTCAGTATACTTTAAAAAAACAAAACAACACCCCCCCCACACACACACACACACACACACACACTTGATTATTTGTGATTGGCCCATATGCTAGTTGAAAGAATGCCTTGAATCAGTGTGCATCAAGCCAAAGTTCTCAGTTTAGGCATGGAAATTGAGCGTTGCACTGACGAGCTTTGTTTTCTATCTTTGCTTTTGTAAATGTTTTCATGGTTTAGCCAAAAAAAAAAATAGAAAAAAAATGCTTGTATAAATATTCGTCCTGAAATATTACTAGATAATGAATGAATGATCAGCTTGTTTTTTAAGACATTCAGTGGAAATGTTTTTCTTCTTATTGTTTGATTTGGTTTGGGGTTTTTTTTTTTTTGCTTACGTGATTTCTGGATTACACGTTTTCTGCTGCTCACCATTAACACGCCTTTAAAACCTACAGTCACCTGATGGCATTAGGCTACAGCCCAAAGACCCATGTGTGGCAGGTAGGCTGCAGAGTTTTTTGCCTTAGCTGCACCCCTTCGTTCACTCTCTGTACGTGGAGTCCCTTCGGCCAATTTAAAAGAAACATTTGAGTTCATTCCCAGCTGCTGAGTGGGCTGCTGTGCAACTCTGTTCAGCGTGGTCGCTGCGTTCCTTACAAACCATCAAATGTTGATATCCATGGATAACTGATCTCCATTGTGTTTACTCTGCAACTTCTACAAGATACCTACGCAGTCCCTGCACCTTTTTAAGGAAAAGTGCCTTATTCAGTTGATTTCATAGATATATCTATAGATATATAAAGTTGTATTGCAAAATGATATGCCACATGTATTAAGTAACGATGGGACTCAGCACTTTCAGGCCCCTGTGAAGTGGTTTTCTGTGTCGTATTCTGCTTAAATGTCTGTTTATGTCACAATCGGCCTTAACTTCTTGATCAAACGAGTAGTGATAAGCATGGTGGGGCGGAAGGGAGAGGTTGACTGTGTTCCATTCTTTCAAGCGATGCCATTGAAGCAGCATTTTAAGTATACAGCAGAATCAAAGGTGCTGCTTTAGTGATTTGAATCCTTTACGTTTCAGCTTAATAAAGCACGCATGTGGCCTGGACAGCCTCTCACCCGCATATAGAGATAAAATTCACCAGTAAAGTTGCAACCACAGCCACAAACCTCTAGCGTTGTAAAGTCACACTTCCTCCACGCTGCAAATGGTCACATGGTGACTCCACTTTGGTTCTAATTTGCAATTGCTGTATCAGATGACCTTGCTTTCTGTCTTTTGTAAGATTTCAAATTCAAAATCCAAACTCGTTTGGTTGCGGAGTTCTCTCATATCAGTGTTCTGCTCAGAGAGAGAGAGATGTGTATGTTTTATTTTATTTTTTTCCTCCTTTCTCTTGTGGGTTTAATGCTTTTGTTTGTTTTTGTTAAAGGCCATCAGTCTTGTAGGTACAACCTTTGGGCTTTCCCCTCTCACATAGCCATATGTAGACTCCTGCAGGTGCCAGAATGCCTCCTAAAAAGTTTTGTGCTTATTTTGTGCCCTTCTTTTCTCCCACTTCCTCTTAAACTTTGTTTTGTTTTGGGGGTTTCTTTTGGTTTTTTTGCCTCGTTTCCTAGTGTTGCCTTTTAATTTCACAATGTTAAACCAATAAAGTTTGAATATTGTAAAATGAATCACTGCAGCGTAACATTTGCTTGGGAACTCGTCATTTACATCAGTGGAAAGACGATACCTGGGCAGGTCTTGTAGAGCGCTTGTCACCATGGTTACAGTTGAAAAGCCATTTAAAAGGTGGTGTATCAGTTTCTGTGTGAGTATAAGTAATACTGGCTCAAATTGAGAAGGACAGATTGTCCTGATAAAGAGGAAGCGAGCATAAATGCAAATAATTTATGCAGAAATTCTACACTAATGGCAAAATTATCAATATATTTTACATTTTCTTTCATAGTTCATGGAGTGACTCCATATTGTATGGGTTTCCACATTGACAAGTCAAAGATCCTTGATTTGAGCCCAGGAGTAGACCCAAATCCCCTTTTGAGGTTGCTAAATCAAACATGTAGACAGCTGGTGAATAAGGGAGCAGCTGTCACGACCATTTATATTTAAAGAAAACAAAAACGAAACCCAAAAACCTAATTTGATATATGAAACGCATACTAGTTTTATTTATAGCACCAAGACCCAACAATGATACAGAGAAAACCTCAACAATCGGGCGCTGTTGAGCGAGCACTTGGTGAGAATAGGAAGGAAAAACTTCCTTGTCAGTTCTCCCAACCCTGAATGTTAATTGTTGACTTTAGAAGTGAGCATAACGGAAGCACGAGCCTTATTTCAGTATATATGCTGTATATTTAATCAGGTCTTTGGTTTGTGTGGGTCTCTTTAAATTGACAGTAGATGCAAAATGACGAACACAATAACTTTGCTTATAACAATATCAAGACTTTCTGTCAACATCTAACAGTCTGAACACACTGGTTTCTGTTTAAAGCTTCTGCTAAGGTGAATTAATCCTGCTTGTTTTCCATGGGTGGATAAAGATCTTTACTGAGCGTGTGCATATTGAATTTCAGCATTCAGCTTGTTTCTGTTTTGAGAAACTGAGAGTTACGCTGTTACGGCAGTTTTCTATTTTCAGACTTTAAGCGAGGTGATTGAGCACATACCCCAAAATGTTACAAATAATCTGGAACCATAAAATTTTTAATTTGTTTGTCTGAGAAACTGTTCCAACTTTCGACCAGCTTCACCTGCTCCTTTAGGTGTGTTGCTCTCTGTTTACTTAAGAGTCTAGTGGAAAAAGTACACTCACTGACACACATGCTTTCTTTGTATTGCCCATACAGGATCCACTCCAATCCACCCTGCCCAATCCCTGCTCTCAATTTTCATTTCCTTGTGTATCAGGGGCTCATGACCTACTGTGAGGCTGATGGGTCATAAAGTGATTATATGGATAAGAAAGCAAAAACAAAATGTGCATAAAGTTCATTCTTTCACTTCTTCAAGACACTAAAAACCTCTTCAGTGAAGCAGCTCAAGGTCAACCCTTAAAAAGTTAGTTAGAAAATCACTGTGGACTGTATACAGACAGGAGAAGCAGACTCCAGTGGAGCCATTATCCACAAATGGTTAGCTTCATAGCATAAGTGCCTAAGTCATTGACTTAGTCAAATGACTTAGGCAATGCTATGAAGCTAACGAAATGGAGAAAATTTAAAACAGTGGTGAACCTTCTCAAGAGTGATCGGTCTACCAAAATTAGTCCAAGACCGCATCACTGACTCATCCAAGGAAGTCAGAAAAGAACCCAGAAGAACATCTAAAGAATTGCAGACCTCATTTGCGCAGTTCTAACATTATTCATTATTCAACAGTATGAAACTGACCGGCAAACATGGCATCCATGGGAGAGCCCAAGTAGAAAACCACTGCTGACCAAAAAGAACACAAAGGGTCATGTGACATTTGCCAAAAAAACAGATGATCCTCAATTGATTTGGGACAAATGCTGAAGCTTTTGAAAGGTTTGAGTCCCGTTACATCTGCATAAAACTAACACAGCATTTCTTAAAAAGAGCATCATAGCACCAGTCTAATATGGTGGTGGTAGTGTGATGGTCTGGCTGCTGTGCTGCTTCAGGACGACTTGCTGCCATTGATGGAACCATGATTCTGCTCTCTACCAGAAAATCCTGAAGGATGATGTTCAACTATGAGTTCATGCCCTGAAGTTCAGCTACACTTGGGTTCTGCAGCAAGACAATGATCAAAAACACACCAGCAAGTCCACCACTGAATGGCTTAAGAAAAACAAAATGAAGACTTTGGCCTAGTCCAGTTCAGATGCTGTTGCATGACCTTAAAAGGGCAGTTAGTGCTTGAAAACCCTTCAGTGTGGCTTAATTAAATGAAACAATCCTGCAAAGAGGAGTGATGTAAAAGACTCATTTCTAGTTATTATAACTGTTTGATTGCAGTCCTTGTTGCCAAGAGTGGCACCAGTTATTAGGTTTAGGGGCAATAACATTTTCTTTAATAATTTTTACACAGCCAAGTAGGTTTGGACCATTTTTCTTTCTTTAATAAATGAAATCATCATTTAAAAACTGCACTTTGTATTCACCCAGGCTGTCTTTGTTTAACATTAAAACTAGTTTGATCTGAAAATTAAAGCTGTGAAAAACATGCAAAAAAAAAAAAAAAATTTCCATAGACCTGTGTGTAATTAGTTTTACACTCTTGCAGCTCACTGTCACACTGTCTTTGAACGTATATACAACACAAAGCTGAGGTAACCTTTCTCAAAGTCTCCAAAAATAACCCAGTATGTCATAAAGTATAAAGACTGACTAACACTTGCTTAATGACTGTGTTAACTATTTTTATCATTTCTAACATTGACTGTTTGTGTTTCACAAGCAGCTACAAACCTTTGAAAAAGCAGCAGGTACAAAGTGTACTGTATGTCACGTACCATAACCTGTGAATAAAAACCAATGTTTCACACCACCACCCACCAGGGCGCAGTTTCTCGGGTCATAGGAAAGTTTTGCTTATGTGGTAAAAACCGAAGCTCTGAAGACAATCAGTGAGCATGTGCACACTCAAGACTCACGGTCCGACGGTCTACGCTCTCGAAGAAGCTGTGTGTTTATTTTTGTCGAGCAGATTGTTATTTTTCCAGCGGCCCTGGCAGAGAGGCTGTTCCACAACCAACGCGATAATGGTTTTGGTCAGTTAAAAGCAAAATCAGCAGCCCTATACTTACTCTTTTCAGGGGCAAACACTGTGTTGCTCTATCAGGAACATCTCTGGGCCTTTTACTAGAACGTGGAAAATCCCCCCACACACTGGGAGATACTACTTTTGGATTTTTCCTCTCTAAAATTTTAAGAAAATACTGCAGTTGGAGCAACTGCTAATCAGACAAAGAAGGGTTGTGTAGTCACAAGGTATCAAAGTTGCAGGGTCAGGAGAGTGGGTGGAGCTGCTGCATAAGTGGACATGGGTTGGGTCTCTAGCTAACCTGATTGTTGTGTCCAGTCATGCTGTGTAATCTAATATGGGAGGACAGAGAAACAATGCATTAGGTGTAGTCTCTCCTCTCTTGCAAACACAAGCTCAGTGCATTGTTTAACCATGCAGTGAACTCTGCAGCATGCCAAGAATACCAAGACCGAGCAATGTTAGTGACATAATGAAATGAATGCAGTAATAAACAAAAGCAGGTATCTCTTGAAAAAAAAAGTCTTGAAAATGTGCTCATTTCAGATCCATGTGACTGCATAAAAATAATTTCCCAGGATCAATAAAGTATTCTGATTCTGATTCTGATTACACATCTAAAGTTACTTTAGAGTGTATTAAACTTGATGACAGAATAGCAAAAAATGTTGACTAAGGCCCGATAACGAGGAGATAAGTTGAGGAATGTTATGAGGCAGCTTCACATGTGGTTATTTTCCCCATTATAAGTGGCTGACTCAAATAAACGGAACATGTGTGTGTGCAAAAGGCATGCAGCAAATTTGCCATGTCATCTGACCAGCAAGCACTGGAGAACAGAGCTGTTTCAGCTGTGCAAAGGAAAAAAAAAAAACAGTGTGTGGCAACAAAAAAATGGGTTTCTCCTACATGCATACAACTAAAAACCCACATCCGTTTTATCTGTGGTCAGGGCTCCATTTATTCAGCTGTTCGACCTGCTGCTGTTCGGGGTGCATTTGATCCCTCTCGATTATACGCAGTGGGGAGACTGGTGCTGCCAGCAACATTACAAAGTTAGAGTTCATTTATCCATCCAATAGCACGACTTGCCAAAGGTGAAAAGCTTCTGATTTAAATATAGAACAGGCTCCGCAGTGCCATCTAGTGGTTGTACATAAACAGTGACAAACATAAATGTGGAAGAAAAATAAACCTGCAATGTGTAGAAACAATAGCCTTTATTAAAAATAAACAACTATGATTACATAAAAGTTATTTAATCCAGCTCATTAGCTCCTTATGGCACATGACTCATTAACATTACTTTTAAATTGGGTTAAGATCATGGTTCACAAACTACACCCTATGAAGGACAGTGTATGTGCAATACTTTATTTAATAAGCACTGTGTAGAATGCCTTATTTCCTCTCCAATTTGTTACTAAAAATGTCCAGAGGTCGTCTGAAGAGCAGAGAAAAAACAAACAAACAAACAAACAAAAAACCCCACACATCATCCAGCTGTAACATCCAGGTCTGCACGCCGAAGGTCTCACTGAGAAAAATCACGTTTCCCAGGAGAGGTCGTCCTGTTTGAGGCTGTTTCTGAACTTCTGTGTCTCTCTGAGAAGCTGCAGGTTTTTTTGAGTAGTCCTATCTGTCCTTCCCTTCTTTTCAGTCTTAACGGGAGAAGGAGCAGGTGGCTTGATCCCACTCAGCCTTTTGGCTGTGTGCTCCTCAGGAGATGATCGGCACTGGGCCAGTTTTTGGATCTGTGGAGGGAGCAGAAAACATCACACATTTGGATCTGTTCAGCACAATTATACACTGCAATAAGCTGCTATTACAAGTCGATCCATCCTCTGTTGAAAACGACAGGATTGTTTTTGACCATTTGTTTATAAGTAGACTTTAATTTATTCAAGCATACATTTCTCTTCTGTTTATTAAAATGTCAGAAATAACAGGAGAAGTGTGTAAATTCTTCAGTGAGGTAATACCAGCTCCACTTAACGACATGCAGCTAAAAAAACTGCTTTAAATACATAAAAATACTTTTCTAAAAATATCAAATTAATTTGTTTGAAAATCTCAAAATAATCTTATCACTATTTTTAAGTGGATCTAATGCACTTTTTTTTTTTTTATTACTGGACTCTGCTTCAACTTTTGGCTCTTACTCTCACAAGCAGTGACCACAGAGGATGGATGCGCATATTTGATTTGGCAAAGATTTTTACCCTGGATGCCTTTCCCAAATGCAACTTCCCAGAAATCTGTCTCCCCTCCTGGTTTTGAACCAGACATCTTTTGCATGTAACGTGCACATGTTAACCACTACACCATGGAAGAACTGACTTTTACAGACATGGAATTCATTATTTGAAATTTTGCTTGATATAGGCATTCACCATTGACAATTGGTGGGCTGTCAATGGTGAATGCTTACTGCTGTTTTAAAGCACTTTAAAAGATGATTAGATGATTATTTTCAATGCATCAGATCCAGTTTCTCATTGTGTTACCGAAAATTGTTACAAATCTATCCCCTTTAAGTTGTACCAACTTATAGGTCACATACCATCCTCTGGTGTTTGCGGAGCTTGGTGATCTGAGATCCTTTATCCTCCATCCTGGTGACCAGCAGCTCCAATTCTCTCTGGAGGTCCTGCCTCTGCTCCGGATTTTGAGCTCCATCGATCTGACGCACCAACTCCTGATGCTCACTGACAAAGGTGACAAATATAAAACGACTTTAATAAAAGGTTCACTAATATGTCCAAAAAACTCTGAATAAAGAACTTAAATTATGTTAAATACGCCTTCATTCCTAATGCAGCTCACTGGTTGGCACTACTCACAAGCTCATCTGTCCCAGCTCGTCCTGCAGAGCCAGGAGCAGGTCGGCAAGTGAGCTTAGCGATGGGTCGACGGGCAGCCTGTTAGGCTTCTCTGATGAATCAGAGGAAGATGAAGAAAAGTCCTTTTGGAGGTTTTTCTTCACTCCGCAGCCAGACCTGTGGTGTGCACTCACTCGCTGGCACAGCTGTGGCTGGTGGTGCTTCATCATGTGAAGGATACTTTGCACGTTGGCATGAACCGAATGGCTTGGGCTCGTCGACTAGAGACGGGAATGAAAAGAATCAAAGTAAGAACAAACAACAAAAAAAGAAGTGCAGAAAATTATAAGTGACTTACTGTTCCTGCAACAAAGGGCATTTTCTTGTGCATCGGGCTCTTTGGTAGCAGTTCGGCAGGTTTAGAGGTTTTCTGAGGAAGAAGACAGCTCTCATCACCTCTACATCCAAAGAAATCTCCTTAAATAAATGCCTAAAATTAATTTTTATATCGGTCAGAAAAGTACCCTTATGCTCTTTTTTGTTTTCTTCTTTGGCTTTGTCTCTTCAGAAGTTGGCAGAGATGGTCGAAGGCTGACATCAAACTCTCGTTGCAGCTGCAGTAGTAACAGCAAATCAATGCTTCTTAAGAGTATTTAGTCAAATTTGCCAATCAGCAGCTTTATTGTTGAATATGTGCTGAAAGTTGTGGCGTGGGCAATTTAAAAAAAAGTTGTGTCTCTAGTTAGCATTTACTTGTTTCTTAACAAGTGCAATCCAAAAACTGACTAACCTCCTCCGCCTTCTCCTGCACGAGTTTACGCTCGTGCTCTTCTTTCAGCAGTTTCTGCTCCAGGATGGAAAGCTTCATCTGAAAATTTATCACAGCGACACACCCTGAAATAATGAACTTTTGGCGATAAGCATTCTGACTAATGAATTAGAGATAAGCAGCATTGGGAAACCTTAGGTTACCTCTGCCAGAGTTTGGGTTCTGCTCAGTTTGAGACACTCTGACTCGAGTTTTTCCAGCTTCTCTCGCTGAATTTGGCTGTTTGAGCTGCTCTTTTGCTCGCTCTGCAGAGAAGCCTTGAGGGGAGTAAAAGTGGCAGGGGGAATATGTGGTTTTTTATGTTACTTACATCCAGAAATGTGAGAAACAAATAGGTGATGATCATGCTTATAGCTGGGATCTACTTTCAAATGACTTTTTGATTCGTAGTATTCTGAGCTACCTGATTTTCCATTAGAGCGCTCCTCTCCTTTTTGGCATTTTCAACCATTTTCCTCATGTAGTCCAGCTGCTTCTCGAGAACCTTACAGCGAGCTTCTGCAGACTGCAGTTTTGAGTCCAGTTCTGTCATTATAAAGCAGAGAACAAACTAATCAATCAGTTAAATGGAGTTGCCAGATCATAGTGACCCACAGTACCCTGTTTCCTTGTTGCTTTCTATTCTTTGTCGCTTACCTCTCCTGGCAGAGTTATCCGTCCCAGGCAGGCTGGCTGCTGTCTGACTGTACAATGTTGTAACTTGTGGATGCTTTTGAGCATCATGGGAAAACTGCTGGTAGCTCTTCTCTGCTTGCGTCCTTTCCAGCTCCAGCCGCCTAATTTTCTCCTGAAGGGTCTTCAGTGCATCAACCACGGCTGATGAAGAGTAAACAACAATACAAAGACATACTAGGTAACTGTAAAAGAAAGCAGTCTGCCCCCTCCCCCCTCAAAAAACTAAACAAAAACAAAAACTTCCACTGTAAGAGACAAATAGCTCATGATAATGAATGCGTCATACCTTTGCTATCAATATTTGGTCTCCTCTGGGAAACTGAGCTGCTGGCCATGTGTGTGCCCATGCTGATAGAAGAGTGTGCATGGGGCTCCGGCTCTCGTGAAGGTTTCACTATCCTGTCTGGTGGCTGGTAGTAGCTTCCAATGTAACTGTTCTTGGAAGGTGAGTCTAAAATCTATACACAACAAGAGGAGGTTGTTTTGGAAACAAATGAATATTTTCATTATCAATAAAATGCCAAGTTTGTAAAATTATAGACAAAAAATGTAAGTGTATACGAGTCAGATTTTTAACAATTTTGAACCTTGAGAATAAATTTGAAATGCAGAGACTAAAATCAGCTCCTGATTACCGCACTGTGAAAAAAGAGAAATAATTTTCTTCTTACTAAAACTGGTTTGGATGTGCAGTTTGCAGAAATATTGCAATTTTGCAACAGTGTGCTAATGGTAATAGTTTCATTTTAAATTACAACATTATTCCTAAAGTGCACAGCTCAAAAACAGGGAATACATGATCAACATAGTATAACACAAAGTTAGTTACACTTCACACTTCAGGGAAATTAATCTGTTTGATTAGGAAGGATAAACCATTGCTTTGCTACAAATGAAAGTGACAACAGGTGACTGCCTTCAACATCATAGGTTAAGACTTGACTTCATTCTAAAAATGAGTATTATAGATTATTATAGAGACGAGTTGCTATCCCAAGCGGAGAAGTTCAAGTATCCTGAGGTCTTGTTAAGACTGATTGATGCAGTGTCTGCATCACCGGTCCATTGTGGTAAAGTGAGAGCTGAACATAAAAACAAAGCTATTGATTTACCAGTCAATCTACATCCCCACCCTTACCTATGGTCACGAGCTCTGGATAGTGACCAAAAGATCAGGAGGTACTCAGAATAGAGCCTCATCCACATCGAAATGAGACAGCTTAGGTGGTTCAGAATGCCTTCTGGGAGAGGTTTTCCACGCATGTCCTACTGAAAGTTAAAAGGATGCCCTGGGGGACATCTCTCAGCTGCCTTGGGAATATCTCGGTGCTCTCAGGCCTAGATGAGCTGATGAGGAGATGTGGGCTCATCTGCTTAGGCTGCTGCGCCCACGACCCCGTTCCCCCTTCACCATGAACCGTCTCTGTGGTTTTTCGCTTTTCCTCATCCATATATTTCTTTAGTAAACAGTAAATACTGATAAAAACTTTCTGTTTTCGGTGCAATTTCCATGCACTTGCCACACAAAGTAAACAGTAACCGAATCAACAAGCGTTAATCGATTACGCAACTGTACCCCAGTACAGCCAGCTTTCTGCAACAAGGAGGCCGTTTGTAGTCCTAAAAGCTCCACAACAGCAAACATAATGTATTTACAAACACCACCCACTGCATGGACCATTGGCTCCTTTAGGTAGATACCCGTAAAACAAACCAAAAAGATGGTTAAGTGGCAACTTGGCGAAAGTAAACAAGACAGCGCTAACGCGTTAGCCACACCTGCTGCTAACGGCTGATTTACGGACGTTACCTGATCGTGGTACGTCTCCATTTTGCCCTACAGCAAATGATGAGTGCTTCCAAACTAATCATGCGTCTGTCTTTAACGATCCGAGGCTACTTTTATAAGTTAAAATGACTTGTAAGACACCAGCTAACTGACTCCAGCTGTCCTGTCACCAAGAGACAGTCCGGGCTTTTTAAATTTCCCTCCTCTTTGCCGCCCTCCACACTGTGGTTCCGCCTGCGCACTCTTAGTTCCTCCCTCCCCACCAGACTTTTCTCTGCTGGTTAAGAAATATATTATATTTCCATATCTTTTGCTAATTAAATACTATAAGGGTAAAAGGAAACTTAAGCTTGTCCTTATACTCATTCTTTACTCCAACATTCTAATTTACTTCACTGTTATTTCAGTTATTCTTTTTGGGTTTCAGTAGACTGGCATAACTACTTTGAGCTGTATATGACAATTTTCGAATTTTTAAAAATCCGATTATGACACACATATACGTGTCACTTAATTTTCTTTGTGGAACAGTTTCCAGTATTTTCAGCAAACTCAATAAAGACTGTGACCTTTTGGTGATAAGTATGGCATTAGACAGGCTCACCTTCTATAGACTAAAATAAAATTATCCTTTAAATCTTATTTTTCTTGCTGTTCCCTTTAGGGGTTGCCACAGCAAATTATCTGCCTCCACCTCATCCTATCTCTACCATCGTCTGTCATGCCAACCACCACACCATGAACGTTGACTGTGGTATTCCCAATGAAAATCTTGGCATCTTCAACTCTGCCATTCAAGAGGTCTCTCTACCATCTTTTAAACCTCCCCTTTCACTCTTGCTGCTATCTTTCTGTCACAAATCTCCCCAGACACTTGTTTCCACCCACTTCACCCTGCCTGCCCTCTCTTCTTTACCTCTCTGCTGGGGTGGATTGATGGGATTTCTGGGTATGTGCAAAGGGCCCATGTACAGTTAGGGGCCTATCCAAGATGCAGATGTTAGTTGTCAGAGAGGAAGGACAACAACAGGAATATTATACTTACATACAAACATAGTATAAAAGATGAACAAGCTCTAGGTGCTACATTTTCCATTTAATATAAGGTACCCTAGAGTGTTTAATGATGTTGTATTGTGATAGTTGCTTTTCATTGTTTTGTTAAGGTACCATGCTCTCCATTTCGAACTATTCTGTGTACACGTATGCACATACAATGATTCTGAACTTCTTTTTAGATGCAAGGTATTTAATCAATTAACTCTGCAAGGATGCACAACAGGCAACTGGTAAGATGTAGGTGGACTTTTCAGTTATCTAATGTGTGGCCTTTCACTCACTTCATCTAAGTCCCCAGGTCAGTATGGCTGGAATGCATGCTGCACTGACCACTGCATAGCCACACACAGCCTCCAAAATACCAACACAATCAGTAGGCTGGAGTATGTACACGATAAACTGATTTGTGTCTGCTTGTTGACTTTTTTATGTTTCCCCAGGTTGTGGTGAGTTAATACAATGTCGTTAGCACTGTAAGTCAATCACACTGTCAACATTTGCACATGCAAATACTCTCTTGCAGCAATAAGCAGCATGTGTGACAGTCCTCCTGCATTACTATTTTTTTCTCATTTGCAACAAACACATTTTTTTTTTTAGTTTTACCATACTTGAACTGAGGTGCATGGCACTTCGTTCTTATGTTGAGATTGATATTTTAATGGTATGGGCTGCATCAGTGTGCAGATTTTTATTAAAGTTAAGAAAATCAAATGGAAACATACAACATATCCACCTCTTTATGTCTTTCTGCTTGTCTGTTATTTCTGATAAACAAGTGAAAGGGGGGCTGCTGCTGCTGAATAAGTGGATGATGGGAGATGTAGTTGCTAAGCGCTACAGTCAAATAGAGAACCTGGGCGGATAAAGAATACAATCCCCATAAACGCTTCCCCCACGAGCACAGGAAACCGCCCACCAACCAATCATCTTCCAGAACCTCCCCGAATGAGTTCGGCTTGGGCTGATTGGCTAATTTGCCCTGCCAATCAAACTTTTACCCTGAAGTTGTTACCTCCTCTTGTTTCTACGCTGGAACCAGCGTTACTGGACAGTGCGGAGGCAAGTCGTCCTGTAACAGGAGAGACACCAAAGAATGTGGATAAAGTGAGTGTTTTAGAATGACACTGTTTGGTTTTCAGTCTCAGTGAAAGGTTCGTGTGTGGGAATTTTTTTAAAGAGCGGCGGTGGGTGCTTTAGTGCCGTCTTTGTTAACGGGCAGCTTGAAAGCCCTGGCACGAAGAAAAGAGAGATAAACAAGCAGAGAGATTGAATGGATTTCACTGACACGCCGCGTATTCTTCCTATTATATGCCAAGTTAATATCAAAGTTAAAAGCCGTTAAACCGTAAACCGGTGTTAGTATTTGCAAAATCAAATGCTGTGGCAGTGAATCTAATTGCTCTGACTGTGTTCAAATCCTGTTTTGTTGTTTTGAAAGTTGCTAACAAAGATTAGTAGAATCGTGTGGATTTAAATCACGGATGCAGCTATTGCTTTTTAAATCTGTTTAAAACATGTGGTTAAACCTCATTATATTAGATTTTCTGCAAATCTGAGCAGTATATCTTCAGAGAACTATTTGGCTATATGCTGAAATACATGGTGTGATGATATGCTTTAGATGTGTAGTTGATTTATGCACCATTTTGAGAAGTTTATTTAATGTTTAATCTTAAACTGGGGTTTAAAGACAACAGGAAGGAAGTGCAGTGATATTTAGAGGTGTTAGTGACCAGTGTTTTGTGCCAACTCAACTTTGCAGTTGCTAAATGTTCAACGATGAAGTGCTAAAGAGATTAATAATTTATAATTAATATTTATATGTAATTTTTTTTCTTGTCAAAAAGGGAAACAGATATCAGCAAAAACATAATAAACAGTGGCACCATCTCTTCTCCACAGTGTTACATTACACACTGGTACAGTACTGACATAAAGTTTCACACCCTTTCTTAGGGCAGTAATGTGGTATAAGAATGGAAGTATGGAAGATGTACTTCTATTGCTCTTCCCTGGTGCTGAGAGAGACATTTTTGTTTTCCCTGGTAGAGCAGGGGACCCATGAACCGAGGGCCATAGTCCTTACAACAGTGGCTTCAGTTTGATGCTGTGTGTCACTCACCCTCTCTCTCTTTCCCTACTCCCCCCCCTGCCAAAAGCCAAAAGTCCATTAGCTGTAATATCCAAATTATGGCAAATGAATTCATGAGATATAGGGTGATATATCTGTGTCTTTTATAAGTGGTTCATGTTATTAGTTGGAGTCAAATTTCTCTGATGCTACATCTAAAAGCATAATGCACTTGCATTAACAAAAAGGTGATGCAAGCCTTTCCTGTCCTGTTTATTCGTAGCCTTTTGTGAGACAGCACAAACGGTAGGCCCGCATAAACTGATGGAGGTGCAGGACCAGGAGTCTGTGGGGAGATGGGACAGGCTGGGGAGCCGGGATCCCAGCTCCAGAGCTGATGCGATAGAGAACATCTGCCAGGAGGTCATGCGGAAAGTGGAAACCATTGGGCCCATACCGCCGGTGGCCCCTCTGTCCCTGGCTTCAGGGAGTCCTCCAGGCAACGATCTGAATGATATCCTGGCCCATGTCCTTATGCTCTCCAGACGGTGTCCCTTTGAAGATGTCAGGGAGCGTTGCTCTCAGCTTCTGCAAAACATCCAGGTAAGAGAGTCGCGGTTTTATGATGGGGAACTGTGTTGCATTACGCTGCACCCGACTGTGATATGTCCTCTAGAGCCAGTGTTTATTGTATTGATCTGCAGCCATCTCCCTCTCTTCACCTCTTCATAAGCATTGCAAACACTGTGGTTTAGTAAAAAGCTCAGTGTGACCGCTGCATGGTTTGTCAAAGGGATTACAGTCAGTCACACAATGATACACAAAAATATAGCTGTCCTAACCTTTCAACACGCTGCCAATCATTTTTACGGTGAGATTTAAACTAAACAGATAATCAGATAATCACTGGTTGATTAAGATTTGTCTTTAGCATTAAAGCTAGACATAAGATTTAAGTTTTTTTTATTGCAGAATTTGAAAACAAATTTCTTTGGCTCATGGCTTACACACACTGAGATCTTCCAATAAAAATATTGACACTGCACATACTGTATGTGGGCTTTCTCAGAGAGTTAAGACGTATTTACTGAAAATAAGTAATGCTCTCCATTATTAACAAAACACAGTGTGACACAGCATTTTTGTTTTCACTTTGGCTTTTTTTTTCTTTTTCTTTTCAAGTCCGTTAAGTCTGCCTGTGTTGATTTTTAAATAAATATCCTGGTCATTGTTGTGTAGCAGGTGGCAGTGAATTGAGAAAAAAAATATTATATTGAAGCTGTCAGACTTGGACATGGATACATGGTACTCAGTGAATCCTGAAAACAAAAATCTGTGGGAGAAATGCGCAATGGTGGATGGTGGGGGGGTCCTTAAAGTTAACAGGAGAAATATAGATAAAATTAAATAAGATTTATTAGACACACAGTTGGGAAATTTACATGTGGTATATGGTAGCAAAAGGGATAGAGTGGGAATAAAATAAATTGATGCAGCCATTAAAAAAACTTGAAACAGTAGAAGAAAAATGTACACAGTACAAGGTAGAAAGAAATTTAATCTAAATATAAGTGAACAGATAGTTTCAGATGCCTACTAAGAGCAAAATGATTTAACGAGTATGACTGAAAACTATTTCACATTGAAATACATCAAATACAAAGAACATTTACTGACTGAGCATTAGAATGGGGAATAAAAGTGATTTAAGTGACTTTGATCGAGGCCCAGGCTGGCCTGAGTATTTCAGGAACTTATGATGGACTGGGATTTTTTTATTTTTTTATTTTTTTCCACACAATAATCCCTGAGGTTTAAAGACAATGGTCTTAAAAAGAGAGAATATCGAGTGTGAGGCACTTCTCTCAGAGCTCAGAGGAGAATTGCCAGAATGCTTTTAGCTGATAGGAAGGGAACAACTGAAGTAATCACTTGTTATAACCAAGGTGTGGAGCAGCAGAAGAGCAGACAAGTTTGCATTACTGTTTGCTAATAGGAGGAAAATGTGGTTACAATTACCACACGGGCTCATCAAAATTGGATGATAGAAGATTGGAAAAAGTTTGCCTCGTTTTATGAGTGTCCATTTCCGTTCCAACATTTGGATGGCCGGGTCCGAATTTAGCATAGACGACATGAAAGAATGGATCCATCCTGTCTTGTATCAATGGTTCATGCTGGTGGTGGTGTGATAGAGTTGGGGATACATTCTTGGCACAGTTTAGTCCCAACTGAATATCCTTTAAACACCACAGCTTACCTGAACATTGTTTTTGACCATGTCCATCTCTTTATGACTACAGTATACCCATCTTCTGATGGCTGGTTCCAGCAGGATAACACGCCATGTCAAGTCATCTCAGACTGGTTTCTTGGACATGACAATGAGTTCGCTGTACTCTAATGGCTTCCACAGTTCTAGGGGGATGTGCTAGAACAAGAGATTCGCATCATGGATGTGCAGCCAGCAAATCTGCAGCAATTGTGTGATGCAATCGTGTCAACATTGGGCAGAATCTCTGAGGAACGTTTCCAGCACTTTGTTGAATTTATGCAGAATTTATGTAGTTCTGAAGGCAAAAAGAGGTCCAGTCCAGTACTTTTTAGGTGTACTTAATAAAAAAGTTGGTGACTGTATCTGTAATACATGTATATTTATAATAAATATTGTGCTGGGTTTATTTTGTTTTGCCACTATTAGCTATAGAGAATGAAATATTACACTTATCCTGGGTCTACCCTTGTGTTTGCTGTGGCCTGTTCCACTTAATGAGTCCTGTAATAACAAACAAACACTAACCCCAGTAGCTTTGGATGGCCTGACATGTTGTTATTCTGAGGAAATGGGGTGTTTGGCCGTGGCTTTAGTTCCTGTTTGTGCGGAAGTGTTTTTTGAAGATGGAGGCGAGGGACAGGCAGAGATGAGAACGGGAGAAAGCTGCTTTGCGGGTTTAGCTGTCTACCACGGTACGCGCCGTCTGGTATTTCTGAATTATGCTAAGCTGCATTTGGGCACAGCTTGCCAAAGGTTGCATTTATGAGCCCACAGTTAGCTGATGTAGCTCTGGTCCCATGGTGGGAGATCCCTCCTGACACACACACACACACACACACACACACACACACACACACACACACACACACACACACACACACACACACACACACACCTTTCTCACATTGTCAGGGTTGGAGGGGCTAAAGGGAGGGGTGCTCTGGCTCAGACAGCCTTTAATTCCAGCAGATCCGCTGATTAAAGACAAAATCTTTGAAAGCACAGACAGTCTTTTCCTCGTGTCCTCTAGAGGAGGAAGGCATCCTGCTTAGTGAGAATAATGTACTCTAAAACCCACATGGCTCACATAGCTGTGGGTTGGAGCAATTTTCTGCTTGTTTGTTGCCATAATGAGCACATCTTTCCTGAGCATTTATCAACCGTGAAAGTAACTCCGGTGATATTATTCAAAGGATGATATGTGCTCTTGTCTGTAGATGTAGCATGAAAAATTATGATAAAAATAATTGCAATAATGCCTAAGAAGAAGGGAAAAAATATTGTGTGTTGGCACAATTCTTTTGCTCATACCTGTGCACATAGATAAGAAGTGTACTGGAGAAGTTATACTCTAGTAATGGACAAGGGCATTTTCTTCTGTTTTAATCCTGGTATCAGACCTTCCACTAATTGTTGAGGAACCCATGTAGCAAATAAAAAGACCTTTTTTTTGGTCTCTAATTTTGCCTCACTTTCTTTTTTTTTAATGCAATCCCACTTGGTGTTTGTTCTTCCTGACTCTGCAGGCGAACTGACTTGCAGGCTTAAACATTTGAGCTATGATGTTGGTCTAGTATTCAGGGGTCACAGGTTTGTTGGCAAAAATAGGGTGATATGCGTACAGGGAGGGGTCGGGTTCCCTTGCGAGGGTCTTCTGGGTAATTGTGAGTCAAAATCGCTTACCAAAACAATTCTGCAGCGTGGTCTTCTGGGGCCTTTGACTTGGCATTCGGCTGCTGAGCTTTATTGATTTCATTTTTATGGGAACCCCAAAGTAAAGATGGGTATGCTACCAAACACACACATGCTCAGAATTAAAGAGAAACGATAGTAAGTGTGTATTCTGAGTCTGTCAAAGGGGTGGGCAGACTCTGTTGGCCGACTCTCTCTCTTTCTCTGGTCATCATGTCCCCAAACTGGATGAAAGGAACCCAGTCTTGGATGGCTGAACAGAGACGGAAAGTTGTTTTTTTTTTTTTCTTTCTGTGCTTTGCAGTTACACCATTGTGTTAGCCCTTTACCCCTACTTGAATTAAGAGCTAGTCTCAAAAGATCAACCTGTTCTTGTAATTTAGGCCTGTGCCTCTCAGATTTAACGACACAACCTGCACCGTGCGAGAATTAAAAGATGGAGTAAATCAGCGGATGAAGTGAAGAATGTACATTAAATACCAAGTGGCCTTAGTGTCTCTTTGAATCCAAGTCAGTCTGGTTCTTATGTGTTCAGCTGTCACTGCACATCAGACCTGAAATGTGTGGTTAATAGTCATTGAAAGAGTCCTGCACCTTAGTCTGTTAGTATCACACCTTGTTCTACAACCAACTTTCTTTCTTTTATTTTGAATGTGCAAATCGCTATAGTTGCAGTCTTTTAAACACCCTAGGAGATATTTAATCTAAGAAACTTTCCTTCTATTCATCTGTTATGACAGAGTCATGTTTTTTTTTTTTGGGGTGGGGGTGGGGTGGGGGTGGGGGCTTTTTTCATAAAAAAGAAATGCAGTCTGTTTTTCTGAGGAACACAGAGGCATTAGATGTTTTAAGCTCCTGAGTGTTTTCACATACTTATTTAAGCTAATAATGGTCATTAGGACTAACTAAGCAGTCTCTCTAATAAACACATATGTGTGATTAAAATGGCTTCCTGGAACTGGCCTCCTCCTAAACTAATGCAGAACATATGGAGTGTCTCTTGGAGATGACGGTAAATATTTAATTATCTCTTTAGGATTGATTTATTCATCTAAGCATAGCTCTTGAACTTGATACGAATAAGCAATCGTAATTGTCAAGTATATGCAGATCTAGCACCTACATCGTGACTTTCCTAAGAGTTAAACTTTGAAGTTGCATGGTAGGTTGATCTCTGACTGATTTCTCCGAGCCTGTGTTACATAATTTTATTTCTTTTTAATTGTGGGTTAGGCTTGTTTTCAGAAGACATGTTGTCTGTGTAAGCCTCTCTCAATGGTGGAATTCATTTGGTGAGGCTATATAAACAAACGTTACTTGTCAACCTTGACAGACAGGTGTGTGGACAGATGCAGTACGGCTTTTCTGAGAAGGCAGGGTCAGAGTCCACTTGTAAAATGTGGCAGAAGTTCAGAGAATTGTTTAATGCTTTTTCATTGCAGTCACAGTGACAGAAAGGTTTGCACTGATCTGTTTTATAAGTCTGTGCATGACTGTGCGTATACTGTGCTGTTTTTTTTGTGTTAGTTAATGTACTGTGTGTGCATGAGTTTGATTGTGAATGCCTGGAGTCTGTGTCTGTCTGCTACCTCTGCTTGCTGTGTAAATATAGATAGTGAGGACCAATGATGAGAGG